TGGATGGCACTGGAAGGGATCATGCTCAGCGAAATAAGCCAAAAAGAAAAAGAAAAATACCGGATGGTCTCACTCATAGCAGGAATCTAGAAAACTTAAATAAGGGACCAGGAAAATGAATAACCATAAGAAAGTGAAAATCAAAATCAACAAACAACTATGAACCAGAGACACTTTTAGGGGGGCGGGAGCGGGAGGGGAGGGATTGGGGTCAGAATGGGGGGGCTGCAATTGTATGGGGAATATAAAAATAAAATTATTTAAAAAAAAGAAGCCTTGTAATGATTCATAAAGTTGATTACACTAGGAGTTTCTAGGTAGAAAAAAGTTCTAATAACTGATTACTGGGAAGCAACTGGTCTCTAGCTGCAGGCCATATAGATAGAGGAGTCTCCTGATTTTGTAACCTTGGCGGATAGGGATGTACCAAGGACTATTAGCTGTCTTAAGTAGTTGTTTAGGCTGAAATAATGAGTTTAAGTTTTAATTATCTATTAACTTTAAAGGTCGCTACTTTTCTCAAAACGCATAGGCGCCAAAATGGCCATGGGAGAGGAATGTACTGATTGTTTCTGTTTTGCTTCTATGCATACAGTGATGTAATCCCACTGCTTGCCTTAATGTATAAATAAAGACCCGCTGAGACCCTCAGCAGGAGATACTTGCACCAGAGAGAGTGTTTGTGTCTGCCTCACTCCCCTTCCCCTCAGCCCTCATGTTTGGCCGATGCCTCTCATCCATTCAGGGACACCTGACCTGACATTTTGCCAAAGCTGGTCTTCGGCGCTCTCCCCCTAACAAAATGAGGCAGAAAGTGATGATTTGACAGATTTTCCTGGTTGTCTAGAAATTTGATGAGTGAATCTGCATCTGGTAATGCACCCTGCATGGGTGGGGAATCAGTGATTGCTTGTCAACAGTAAATCTTTAGAGCCATCTGTTTTTTCTGACTGTAGAGGTGAATAATATGAAAAGGAAGTTTCAATGATAGCTTCTGCATGTCATTCTTCTGTTATCAGAAACTTTACATGTTCCCCAGTTAACAGGTATCGAGGTGCGAAAATCATCTTCTATGGTTCTTTTAATACTACTGGAGTTATGTGAAGAAATGCTAAAGGACATTTTATTTTATTTCAAATAGTGTGAATTAATAAAGGCAAAAGGATAGGGAGGCATTTTTATTTATGATTTCAAGTATTAACCCATAAATTACATAAATTATACTGTTAGTATGAAATTCTGGTAATCATCAAATTGACAGTAGATTGTGAAGTGTTTTGTGATTTTTATTTATTTTCAACCTTTTTTTTTTAAGATTTATTTATTTATGTATACAAGAACTGAGGTATAGGCCAGAGGTGTAGGGAGGGGTGGTGGTGAGAGGATTCACCAGAGACAGAATGGGGAACAGAAAAGCCAGACTGACTGAAATACACTGCTGAGGGGAGCAGCTGGCGGGACAGGAGAGGTCTGCTGTGCCATGTGCGTAGCTCTCTGGCCGGGGATCGAACTTGCAGTGGCTGCGGATTGCTTCATAGGTTGCATCTTAACCCCTTGTGCCACCAGGGAGACCCTGTTTTCAACTTTTTATTTTAATTTTGGGGGTTACATTTTTGCTCTTCCATATCTCCAGCATGTCTGTTCACCCTCCACCAAACCACCTGTGTCATTACCCCATCTGCTTCCTTCTCTTTGGTGATTTTTAATACACGTGGACATCTACAAGGCAGTGCCTTATTGGTTGTTTGAGAAATATCCAAGTTCTTAGAAATTGCCAAACATTTCATTTCTAAATCCTGAGAACACGCCAAGGTGCTATAACATGGCCAAATGCCGAGTGAATTGTAAAATAAATACTTGGTGAAGAGTCCAATGCAACAATAAATGATTTCTTAGGTCAATACATTGGTAAAATGACTTGCAAATCACAAATTATTTATCAGCGACCCTGCGTATTTTCTAACTAACTTTACAAGGTAAGGTGGTTTAGCATTTAAAATACCGAGAATCCTGAAAAGTGTTTGGAAAAGTTGAAGAACCATGTAAAAAAAAAAATGTTCTTTAAAATTATGAAGCACCCTGTACATGGTTTGAACGGTGCAAAACTACTTAATCCATTGTAAATTATTTTGTAACTCATAAAGTGATTTGTAGACACTAAGATATGTGTCTGCCAGGTGACAGCTTCAGAATTACAGCAGAAGCATCACAACACTCTGTTGTAACAAAAGTGTTAGAAAAGAGAGGAGGCCAAGAGTATCAGGCTGAAGCCCGCTTTATTGTAAGTCCAGGATGTGACGTACTCTCTGCAGGCCAAGAGTCGCACCCCAAAATGGAAGCATGGGTCTTTATAGGGTTAGGCGACTGGCTGAAATTTTTGGTTTAGTGAGGGGGTCTCTTCTGCCTGAGGGGGTCTGCTGGAATTGTTTACTCTTGTCAGCTTTGTCTCTGATTCTGCTTATCTCAGGTTCCCTGGGGCCTGGTTTTATGGGGGGCCTGCAGTGTGCTCTCTTTAAATAGCATAACACCTCTGGTGTTACAGCCGTGTTTATTCAGGGCTTCAGGGCTATATCCCCAGGCACAGAAACACTTGAGCTGAAAGCCCATGCAGCTGGTGGAGAGCATATTTATACAGACAAAAGGCGGCTAGACTACTTTATGCAAAGGAGGTTCTTGGTGCAGTTCTGATTGGTAGAAAATCTGCCAAGTGGTGATTGGTCTAATTTCAGTTCTGGATGTGGCTTGTCAGTATGGCGTCTTCCTCTGCTCACCTCGTGCCCCTACAGACATGGGCATCTATAAGGTCTTTGGATCTGACCTTCAACAGCCTCTGTCTGGTTGTTACCCAGACCTGGAATGGCTCCCTACTCACTTTCCTTTTTAATTTATGTAACACATGTGTCAACTGGAGAGAGTTTGATATATGGCAAAGGGTTTTCTAATGTTCCAATCACTGCGGGAGATCATGCAAATTTTACAGCCAGTGCAAATAGCATTCTCTTCCTCGCCCATCTCATGTTGTGATGTGGAGACTTCGGTCACAAAAAGTTGTATTTCTGATACAGCCTTCCATTTGTAACATGAGAGTGATGGAGAAAGGAGAGAAACCTTGGAGGTCTCTGTACCTACAGAAAGAGTAAGAGAAGAGGAGTGGGGAGGTCCTGACACTGACATATGCTTACTAGGGTAAACTGCAGGTCTGGGTTTGCAGTCATAAGGATTGGGATGAGAAGGTTACGAGAACAAGCTGATAAAACAATCTAGAGGTTGTCTAGTAGGATAGATTAGGTTGCTTGAACCCATCTCATGGGGAACCCATGAGTTGCAGGGTGGAGCAAAGCTTCCTGAGAGTGACAAAGTGGAAACCTTACTGCCTCCCATGACCTCACCTTGGAAGTCACACAGCTTCCTATGTTCCCATATGCAGCCAGTCCTCCCAACTCCCCTCCCCAGAAACTGACAGAAATTGTATTTCTCTGCTCATTTAAAAGTAGATTTGGCCACATAACTTGTTTTGGTCATATGAAATATAATTTAATATGATTGTTATCCTTATTATTGAAAGGGGCGCTTTTATTATGTTGTTGCTGCTGCTGCTGCTGTTATTTGTGGACTTATAGTGAGCCCTGGACCTGACGTGAGGGTGAAAGAAATCAGATATGGGGGACTGTCATGTCCATCATGCAGTAAATCTTTAATTTTTTAGTGCTCTTTTATACACTTTTTTAAGTGCAGCAAGTGTAACATCAAAGCATACCATATAGTGACAGTATATATGATTGATTATTCTGCTTTCTTACTATTATCTATTTCAGACAGTAGGGTGCCAGGTGGTTAGTTCTCAAGCACATAATCTTATCGCCCCCTACCTAGAGCATGGGAACTTCGCTCATTATTTCTTGTTATTCTAAGACTGTGGAGACGTAGAGGCCTGACTCCCCGCAGGTCACATTCCGGGCACTCAACACCAGGTCTGGTCACTCAGAGGTGTTCCTCTGAGACGCATGTGTTTTCACATGCCTTTGGGACTCAGGTTAAGGCCCTTCTGCTCACTGTGCGGGGTATCTCCCAACAGTTATTAAAATAGAGAAAAACTCAGACCTGCAAGATGGTCTCAATAGTTAAAGAGACAGAGCCTCAGAGACTGACGTTCACAGAGAAGTAAAAGTATGAGAAAAATGGTGAGAAGGAGAGAGAAGCAAAATGGATTTCTCTGTACAATGGATTTTATTCAGCCGCAAAAAGGAATGAAGTATTGATACATGTTACAACATGGATGAACCTTGAAAACAGGATGGTAAGCAAAAGAAGCCAGACACAGAGCCACTTAACATAAGCTTCCGTTTATTTGGAACATACAGATAGGTAAATTCATAGATTCAGAAGAAGCGTTCTTTCCAGGGGCAAGAGGGAGGGAACACTGTTGGGACTTCCCAATGGGGTAGAGGTCCCCATTTGGAGTGATGAAATAATTTGTAACTAGAGAGAGACAATGTACAGACAACTGTACACTGTGGGAATTAGTGGTTAATTCCATGTTACATTATTTTCATTTCAAAAAAAGTTCTGCGAAGTAGAAAATATGACACAAAAGTAGAAGAACTTGATTTTTATCATTCTGTTGCAGGGGAAGGGATCAGAGAAGTAAGGGAAATATTCGGGATTCACACAGCACATGCTGCAAGTCCTTTCAATACAAGAAAGGAACACAAGGATGTGAATGTGGGACATAGAAAGGGAAGAGAGAGAGAGGGTGGTCTCCTGGTCCTGCTGCTGCTGTCCTGGGCACTCTTGGATCTAAATCTTTCCCTCCTCTGGCCTCAGTTTCCCTAACTGTGTGACGGGTATCACTAAGTTATGGAAGGTCTTAGTTTCCCCTCAGTCAACAGAGAAGACCTTCTGGGGATGGTGGCTACAGCAGCAGGTGGAATGGAGGGGCAACCACAGAAAGGACTTTCCACAGGGGAGTGTGAGGGTGGATTCAGGAGGCCTTCCTGCATTCACTCTGCAATCACTCCTGAGGGCATCTGCCTTGTTTCGCCCCCTCCCCGGGGCAGGAAGCAGAGCTGGAAGTCAGGGGGCACTTTCCACATCCCATTAACCCCCCGTATGAGTTCAATATCTTCTGGGGCCTTGGAACATCCCAAGGAGAAGTTCTGTAGAATCATGGTCAAGAAGAGGAAGAGCTCTGAGCAGGCCAAGCTCTCTCCCAGACAGAGGCGTTTTCCTGAGGGCATAAGGCTGGGTGTCATTGTGGGGATCCCAGGCAGCCCCACCCCACTGGGCGGTGGTATTTTCATGTTATTTGCACATATTTACATACAAGATGTTTCTGCTCCTATTCTTGTTCTGAGTGCGCATAATAGTATGAGTGAGAGTTTGCACTCGTGTGTGTGTGTGTGTGTGTGTGTGTGTGTGTGTGTGTGGTGTCCCACTTCCTCCCAGCCTAATCCATTATCTTTCCATATTCTTTTTCACTAGGTCCTTATTCTAGCATTGTCTATCTTTATCTGGGTATCTCTGCTTAAGTGTATTCTCAATTAAACCAGTTCATGAGAAAGTATGAAAACTGACACAATTTCTGCTAGGGTATGCAGGTATGCCCTGGGTATGAGGTGCTATGAGCAAGAGGTGAGAGGTAGAGGGAAGCAGAGATCTCCGTGATCCTGTTCTGGACTGACGTGCACGAGGCAGCCACCATTCCTGTAAGGGCTGTTGAAACATTGCATCATCTGAATAAGTGGATATGAAGCCACTGCTCTCAGCTTCTCAGAGGCCCCACTGGTCTGGCCAACCTGGTGCCTGTTCCAGCCCCCAAACTCTGCCCAGGGTCAGCAGCTAACTCTGCCATGTGGAGACAGAGCAAGAAGGGGGCTGTCTGCAAGCCAGGAAGAGAGGCCCGCCCATGCTGCACCCTGACCTCAGGCTTCTAACCTCCAGAACTCTGGGAAATAATTTTTTGTTGTTTAGGCCAACTAGTCTATGGTATTTTGACTTACGCAAAGAGGTTCCATGAACAATAACAACAATCTCCTCTCATGTTTCTTAGAATAAGTAAGAAATATGCAAAACATAGTTAAAAAATTAAACTGCGAGGGCCTCCCCAGTGGCACAGCGGTTGAGGGCTGGGTTGCAAAGCTGCCTGCAGCCTCTGCGGCGCTCGTTTGATCCCCGGCTGCAACCCGGCCACCGGAGTAGGGTCCCACATGGTGTGCAGACCTCTTCTGCCACCCGCTGCTCCCCTCAGCAGTGTGCTTCGGTCCTTCTGCCTGCTCTGCTCCCCACTCTGGCTCTGGTGAATTCTCTCACCCTCCTGCGCTTCTGACTGTACCCAGTGCTTGTATAAATAAATAAATAAATAAAAATAAATCTTTTAAAAAAAAAATGAAACAGCGAGGTGTCACCAGGAGAGACAATGTTAATTCCATGGCTAACTATCTTTTTGCCTGGAATATCTTAAATTTTTAAACTTGTCAAAGCTATCCAAATTAATTTACAAATTTAAATTAAAACTAAAAATCACAGTGGGTTTTTTTTTCAGACTTTAACAAAATAACTATAAAATGCATGTGGAAGGGAAAGATATGTTAGAAGAACCATCAAACTGTCTGAAAAAGAAAAGTGATGGAAGATGAATGTCTGTAAAATATTAAAATATATTATACAGGTATAATAATCCAAACAGTATGGTATAGCTAGAATAAGAAAAGATAAAACAGTATGAACAATGTGGCTAAGGACCAGCATATATAGACCAGAAGTAGACCCCTATGGAGATTTAAATTTTTAGTAGAAAGAGGTCTGGCTTCAGAGGTTCCCTGCTTGGCTCATGGGAAGGTGATTTAAAGTAATCCAGAAGGGCACTGGGTTCAGAGTATCCTATGACTTGGGGGAAAACTAGAGCACCACCTGGACATTGGAGACCAATGCTGACCATGATAGAAGAGATGCTGAGAAATTCAACACTATACAACAAAAGGTGAATGGAGACAGGAATCTGGAGATGGGTTTCTAAGCACCTGGAACCAGAAGTTAAATCCCACACTCCAGTGTTAGGGCAGAATGGGGGGAGCTGGTTGGTGTGGAAGCACACTTTTAACTGTGGGGAGACACTTGTGAAGGTGTTGGGGTGAGCCAGGTGGGCAAGGTTCCCAGTAAAGAAAACAATGTTCAGAAAGGCTGACCCTCCCTACCCTACTTGGGACTTGAGCTGAAATGGTGAAGAGACACTGAAAGTCTGGGCTGCATACTATAGAGACATGGATGAGGAAACCCAGAGAGGAGAGCTATCAGTGGTTAACACAGGCATGAGCTGCCCCTGCACAACACTTTTACCACTTTTGACCAGACTCCTTGCAGGTTCCTACCTCACCCCAGAAATAGCAGCCGCAGATTAGTTTTCCCTGACCTACAGCGCCATCTACTGCAAAAGTGGAAGTTCTGCACCCAGAGGACATGAGAATAAAGAGGACCTAAAAAAAACTGAAAAGGGGGACAAAGAAAAATAGAACACTTGGTCTCCTGAGTGCTCACGGGATTATTTCACCACAGAGGAAAAACAAATCTCCAAGAAGCCAACTACAAAGACATTAAAGGTCTTTTCTTCTTCCTGTGAGATACAGAGTTCAAAATTGCCATAAGGAAATTCAAAGAAATGGAAGAAAACGCAGAAAAGCTGATCAGTGACACACAAGAAAGCTCAGAAAAATAAATGAATACTCTGAAAAATAAAATTATAAAACACAAGATAGAAATTGAATCTTTAAATAAGAAAAGAATGGAGATGCAGGATGTAAAAAGATTCATAGGGGAGAGTGAAAACTCTGGAGAAAGTTATGGAATTAGAATAGACCAAACGGAAGATTGAATCAGTGGCCTCAAAGATGATAATATACAAAGAATCCAGATGGAAGAAGAAAGAGAAATATGAAGCAAAAATGAAGAAACACCTTGAGAATTATCTGGCTCCATGAGAAAAGGCAATTAAGGATAATGGGAACATCAATTCCAAAGAACACCTGCACCCCTATGTTTATAGCAGCACTATTTACGATAGCAAAAAAAAAAAAAAAAAAAAAAAAGGATAATGGGTATTCCAGAAAGGAAAGAGAAAGAGAAGGGAAGAGAGAAGTTGTTCAAAGAGATAATAGAGGAAAACTTCCCAACTTCCCAAACCTGGAGAAGGAACTGAATATACAACTCCATGAAGCAAAAAGAACACTTGGTTACCTAATGTAATGAGATCTACACACATATTCGTGAAACTTCCAAGAGTTCAAGATAAAGAAGATTGAAGCTGACTAGAAGGAAGAAGTAGATAGCCTATATAGCTACCCCTGAATTCTCTGAAAAACACTATGGGCAAAGGGAGAATGTAATGACATGATCAAAATACTTAAAGTAAAAACTGTCTGCCAAGAATACTCCATCCTACAAGATTCTCCTTCCTATATGAGGGAGAAATAAGGCTTTCTCAGACAAACAGAAGCTAAAGGAGTTTGCAAACACTAGACCTTCTCTCCAAGAAATGTTGAAAGGAGCTCTCATAGCTAAATAGAAGGAAAGAACACCCACAAAGAACTGAACAAAGAAATAGATAGTACAAAACAAAGGACAAATTGGCAGTAGCAGACCGTAGTATATCAATAGTCACCTTAAATGGCAATGGACTGAACAGACCAATCACAAGGCACAGAGTAGCTTCATGGATCAGAAAACAGAATCCAACTTTCTGCTATCTCCAGAAATATACCTGAGTTCCAAAGATAAGTATAGACTGAAAGTAAAGAGTTGGAAAACAATCCTATAAGCAAATGGGACCCAAAGAAAGGCAGGGACAGCCATACTTATCAGATAAGACAGATTTGCAGCTAAAAAAGATAACAAGGGACAGAGGCACTATGTAATGATTAAGGGAACAATACATCCAGAGACATAAATTTGGTGAATTTCAAAGGAAGGATCCTCAAAGTAAGCAAGGCAATTACTAGCAAATCTGGAAACAGACATTAGGAAGAACATTTGTAGTTTGGGACTTCAACACCCTGCTTTCACCAGTAGGCAGATCAACCAGACAAAATAAGAACACAATAGCATTAAATAAAGAATTAGGACACATGGGCTTATTAGTTATGTATAGGGCATTTAGGATAAAAACCTTCAAAAGATTGAAGGTAGAGGAACATACATGAACATAATAAAGGTCATACATAAATGGTGTTAGAAAATGGGATAGCCACGTGCAAAAGAAAAAAACTGACCTCTATCCCACACAATACTAAAAAATTAACTCAAAATGGAGAAAAGACTTGGAGGTAAGACTTGAAACCATAAAGTATATAGAAGAAAACAGGCAAAAACACTCCACGCCATAGGCTTCAGAGTTGTCTTTGTGGATTTGTCAACACCAAGGAAAAAAATTATAAACAACTGGGACTCAGCATACTGAAACACATTAAACTAAAAGGCTACTTCACAGCAAAAAACAAACCAACAAACAAAAACAACTGTCACTAACATAAAAAGACACCCTACTGAATCAGAGAAAACACTTGCACAGCATACATTGACAAGGGACTGATATCCAAGATCTACAAAGAACATATAGAACTCAGTCAAAAGAAAACAAATAACCCAATCAAAAACTGGACAGGAGTGCTAAATAGGCACATCTTCCAAAGAAGACATACAGATGGCCAACAGGAAAATCAAAAGATGTTCATCATCATTTATCATCAGGGAAATGAAAATCAAAACCACAAGGAGGCAACATCTCACATGTGTGAGAATGGCCCATTTCACAAAGTCCGAAAACAACAGGATATGGAGAAAGAGGATCCATTGCATGCTGTTGGTGCACTGTTGGGCACATAGACTACTATAACAGTGTTGGGCACTGTTGGGTCCAGCCCCTTTAGAAAACAGTATGGAGATTCCTCAAAATGTTAAAAATGATTCTGCTGTATGATCCAGTAATTTCACTTCTAGGCATCTATCCAAAGAATGCCAAAACGTTAATTCAAAGGAATAGATACTCCTGTGATCATGCAGCATTACTTACAGTATCCAAGCTATGGGAACAACCTATGTGACCAAAGAGAGAAAAGTAGATTAGGAAGATGTGGGCTATTTTTCCACACAATGGAAAACTAGTCAGCTCTAGAAATGATAAATTCTTGCCTCTTTCAACACTAAGGGTGGAAATGGAGGGGATGATGCCAAATGAAATAAGTCAGAAGGAGAAAGACAAATATTGGATGGTGTCACTTACATGTGCAATATAGAGAATTAAACAAATGGTCAAATCAAGCCAAATCAATAACAAACTCTAGAAATGACTGTTGATCATCAGGTACCGCAGGGCGAGTTGAGTAGACAGAGTGAGGAGGGAGACACTGGACTGGGATGGAGGACTCTGGGGGTTTTGGTGGTAGAGTCTTCAGTAACAACATCTAAAGGGATGATCCTACACCACTAATTCAGATACAATGTTGTAAATTAATGTTCCCTTGGTAAAAAAAAAAAAATTAAAATAATTTAAAAACAAAATGTTAGGGTATGAAAATTTCAAGTCAGAGGCTAAAAGTTGAACTATGGCAGGTGGTTGAACCAGGCACTTGCTGAACACTCCTTAAAATTTCATCCCCAAGTAACTCCTGGGTCTCACTACTCCCAAGCTTGGATTTTAGCAACTGACTAATAAAAAAATAACGATGAATTTCCCTTGTATTCTGTTCTCTTTCTACCTTCCTGCCTTCCTTATTTCTACCTACTTGTTGGCTGTCCTCTATCACCTATAAGATAACTATGTATCTAGTGCTATCCATCCTCTACCTTACATAAGCCTACATAATTAAAATTTGGGTCATGAATTATCAAATGATATTCATTTTCAAATTTATTACTTTCTTGTTTGTATAAAACCTAGAAAAAAACAATAAAGTTAATTCAGTTTTGAAAGAAAAGCTGAAAGTGCCTTTTCCAAATCTTGGCACATGGCAGGATTCAAAAATGATTCACTTGTCCATTTGTGTGTGTGTGTGTGTGTGTGTGTGTGCGCGCGCGCGCATGTGCAGGTGTGCACATATCACAACTTGATCTATATCATCAGTTTAGTGTTCGCTTTATTCCCATCCACCTGCTGTCTTTCCATCCTGCTCAAATTACTTTTCTCTATAGATGTCTTGTATTTACTTTCCTCCACAATTCTCATCTTTTCCAAAAATTCACCCAGCACTTGGACTTGAACAAAGGGAACAAGTCACACACAGAAGAGGGGATGAGCAAGCATTCACATTGGGGGAGGAGGGCCCAGCTTACCCATGGAGAATGGAATGAAGGCTTTCTGCTTCCGGAAGTTGCCCTCGGCATCAAGGAAGTGACCAGGGTAGAAGGTATCTGGCTTCTCAAAGTAGTGTGGGTCACGGAGGACGGAGCTCATAATGGGACAAACACGAGTGTCCTAAGAGGGTGTCAAAGTCAAGGGGACCCAATAGTCATTGACAAGGACTGGTGGATCAATTACAGGACTCCCACTCTTGATGATGAGCTTCACCTGCTGTGTGCTGTGCGGTTGATGTAGTTGATATTGAAATAATTCCGTCTCATTTGTTTAATAGTTGAGTCCCTAACCATCCAAGTATCCCAACAGCCTTCTCCAAAGACCCCATTCCAGCAGTAATGTGATGGCTTGAGGTCCAGTGGGGAACTAGATATTGTCATTACCCCCTAGGTACATCCATACTGGGGGACATGTGCAAGCAGGGAAAAAGTGAGTTCAAAGCACAAGCTTTAACCTGTAAATCCACCTACAGCAAGGACATTGTTCCATTATAAAAGGAAAAACGTACACACTAAAACAACATTCAAATTGTGGGCATGAACGTAAAGCCAGCTGGGGAAGGGAACGTGGCACAGTGGACACAGCGGCTGAGTGGGAGATATAATGTGAGCCAAGCTTGTGTCCATGTGGATATACTTGGCATATGACCCGGTGACCTTTAAGAAAGTGTGAGGGGAGAAACATCACACTGTGGATACCTCCTCATGAAGGAGCAAGCGGGAGGAGATGATAAAATCACTTTTCTTAAAAAGACAGTCCTGTGGTGCTAAAAGTTCCAATGAGTATTATACTTTTCCCAGCAAATCTAACATTTAATGCAGGTTAAAAAAAAATAGAACAGATAGAAGAGGACTTTTCTTTCTGAAATCTACCTCCCTCCCATAGAGTCTAGGGGTGAATGTTCTCCTTGTAGTTGCAACAGCAGAGACGTGAGCCCTAAGAATACAGCCAACAGCACCCCCCCAAACAAGGTTCAGTGGCCCTGCAGCCTCACCTTAGGGAGATGATATCCCCGGAAGTCAGTGTCCTTTGTGACACAGTGGGGGACGCCCAAAGGCGTGATGTCACTGAACCTCTGAATCTCATGGATGACAGCATCTGTGTAAGGCATTTTGGCCCGATCTTCAAGGGCTGGGGGCCGGTGGGATCCGATCACTCTGTCAATCTCCATCTGGACCTTTTCTAGTAGGGTAGGGGAGAGGGGACATCAGTGAGTGCCCAGCACAGTCACCCAAGAAATCCCTGTGGACAAGAGGACAGTCTCGAGAACCTGTTCCACCATGTTACATGTGGTTCCTTCTTGACTCTAGAATCGAGACAAAGTCAGTGTCTCCTTTGCGGGGACGTACTGTATGACACTTCAGCGTGGCTGAGAGGGGCTGACTGGGTAAGGACGGATGGATGGAAATCATTCAATACTTAAAAGGCTGTTTTTTTTTTTTTAACTTAAAATGAGTAGTTGGGGGCCTCCCCGGTAGTGCAGTGGGATGAGTGCAGCGCTGTGAAGCTGTCCGCAGCCTCTGCAGCATGGGTTGGATCCCTGGCCTGCCAGGGAGAGTCCCACATGGCGCAGCAGACCTCTCCTGTCCCCGCTGCTCCCCTCAGCAGTGTACTTCGGTTGATCTGCCTGTTCTGTTCCCCGCTCTGTCTTTGGTGAATCCTCTCACCCCCCAACACCTCTGGCCTGTACCTTACCTGTCACTTCCCCACTCTGGGCTCTTAATTTATTTCCTATAAAATAAGGGAGTTTAACTCAATGAGATTTTCTCCAAGACTGATCTTCAGACATTTGCACAAGAATCAGCTGCAGGACTTCTTAATGAGTGGCAAACGAGCAATACACTCCAAATAGTCAAATTCATTGTAAAACGACAATATTAAACTACAGGAATCATGTGCTTTTGTGTTTGCAAAATATTTTGGCAAAGGTAATCCTTTGTGACTGGACCATATTCTTGTAGACCATGAATCAACTTACCCCTGCCCAAATGTTATGGAAATTACAGAACACTTCATAAGTATAAAGTACCTTGTCAACCACTGCAGACTGCCTTAAATGAAAAATACTTTCTATGTTAAACTGTAAAGTACTTTTTCAACCTCAAGCACTTTGTCTGCACCAACGATTGTTAATAGGTACAAATCCCTACAAGGATGAAGCTATTTTTCAGACTGAATGGGACAGAAGTAGTTTGACTCTCCCATCAAACTCCTTCCAGCCTGACTGACCCTTAACCCTCCAGCCCCACCCAGCCTAGACCCTTCTTACCTGTGACATCCGGGTGCTTCACAAGGATGAGCAGCCCATAGCGGAGAGTGGTACTGGAAGTCTCCGTGCCGGCGACGAACAGGGAGAGCACAGTGTGCACGAGATTTTTTTCATGGAACTCAGTGTCAGGGTTTGAGCGCTCCTGGAGATGGGAAGCACAAACCCTAGGGTCCCCTCTGGCCAAGATCCCAAGTGTCTGGTCTCCTTTTGCGATGCACCCCCATGTCATCTGTGACAGTTGTCTTTAGCTTTACTTCCTTTTTATTTATTTATTTAGCCCATCTTTCCAAGGCCAATAATGTAGTGAAAGGGTGGGCTCTGGGGTTCAGCTGTCTGGGTTTAAATTCAGGCACTATTGTGAATAGCTGGATGTCTATGCAAAGAAATTTGACCTTTTGGGTATAATTTTTCATCTAGGAGTGTTTTAATATGTCATATATATATATATGTGCTCATTGAATAGGGATTAATTTGTTTTTGTTGTTATTTAATCTGTCCTTGGGTGTCCTTGCTCTCCTTTTTTGGATATTGTAGCTCTCTATTCAGGATTGATATTGAAGATACTTAACAACCTATATGGGACTTGTCATATAGGTTGTTATATGACAGCCTCCAGCCTATCAGAACAGACTTGATCTGGCCTGTACCTTACATAAGTCACTTCCCCACTCTGGGCTCTTAATTTATCAGAACAGACATGTGTCTCTGACCAGTCAGAACAGACATGGGCTTCTGACCTTCAATGGCAGGAGGGACTAGGTCCTCTTCAGCTCCCTCTTGGGCCAGATGTCAGCTCTTTAATGTTAGTACTTTACAGGGGTTCTGGGAGTAGGGTAGAAACCTAGTCCGGAATGCAAGTGGGGGCTTGAGCCAGTGGCTTTCTTACCAGCCTAGGAAAGTGTTTCAATGTTCAGCAGCACATACATTATACTCAAACTTACTCCCTAATATCAGTAGAGTGCCAACACTCTTACCCACCCAACCCTGCATAGCCCTTGCCTTTTCCATGCGGAGCAGGTAGCAATCAATGAAGTCCTTGGGGTTGCTGGGGTCCAGGGTTCTCCTGTGCAGCTCGATATTCTCAGTGATGAAATCTTTCACTTCTTGAATTTTACTGTACAGATGCTTGTGGGGCCCCGGAAAGTGTTTCAAGATGTCAGAGAGGAGTTCATACACCTATAGGGAAGCAGGAGAAGACCCCAGAGCTTGTTCTACTCACTAGATTGTGTTGCGGATCCAAGGTTTCCCTGGTGCTCAGCACAGAAACATGAGAAGGAACCAGTCCCCCATGAACTTGGATTGTGCCTCCCAGATTGCTCTGTCTTTCTCTGTCTGTCTCTCTCTGTCTGTCTCTGTCTGTCTCTCTCTTTCTCTCTCTCTCTTTCTCTCTCTCTCTCTCTCTCTCTCTCTCTCTCTCTCTCTCTCTCTCTCTCTCTCTCTCTCTCTCTCTCTCTGTCTCACACACACACACACACACACACACTGTATAACTGTACCCTGTTCCAATCTCTTTCAAAATTTTCTGAGGTTTCTTCTCTCACTGTTCACCCTTTAGGAAGTATGAGCAACCCCCGTCTGACTCAGTACCCCAAAAGGGAAGATAGGGGATGATCTGTTTAGCAAGAAAAGTGACCACTTCATAGGTTCTTACTTTTCTGCTCAGGACAGAAAGTAACTGAACCCTTCCCAGGGTGCACTCACCCATCCTGGCCCACCATCCAGTCTCACCTGACTGTAGAAAGAGCTAACGATGGTGAAGATGTCATTCAGTAAATTTAGCAGATTTAAGAATCTGGGGTCCTGGTAACTGAAACGCTCACCAAAGACAATGGAGCAGATGATGTTGGCCATGATGGAGTGAAAGAGAAAAGTGGGATCCAGATAGGCCCCTGAGGATGAGAAGTCTGTCATGGGGTGCGGGATTCCCTGCACTGTCCTCTGGGTGGCTCTGACCTTGTTGGTGCTGTCTCAGCTTGTTGACTGCTTTCTCTCTGACCCTTGGCCAGTGCTATTTTCCTGGAGCTCTGCGCCCACCTCGTTATCCCTGTTGGTTTTCTTGGACGCTATTTGGTGGGACTTTCCTGGTGCACCTTTGTCTTCCTCTGTCTTGCCTCTGACTTTGAGACTCATCCCTTTCATGCTGTCGTTTTTATGTCCCCATCTGTCTTTGTGGTCCTCTCCTTGGCTTCATAGATTCTTCATAGGTCCTTTCCTTGGCTTCCCCCCTTATCCTATTTCACATTTTCTTTCAAAAATTTTTCTTTCAAAGCTTTTTCCATGAAATTTACTGCTGGTTGTGTCTTTGTCAGTGTCCTCAATTTTTCTCTTTCTTGCTTTCTCCGTTACTATCTGCTTTCTCTGTCTGTCCCTCTCTTTCTGCTTCCCAGTGTCTTCCTCTCTCTGTCTTCTGCATTTTTCTTTCCTCTTTCTGATTCTTTCTCCACTCTTTCCCTGAACCTTTTTCCTTTTCCTTCTATATATCTCTACCCCCATTATGTTTGCTTGTTTTTCTCTCTCTGTTGCAACGCCTGCCCCAATCTCAGTGGCCCTCTGCCTGCTCATTTGCAACTGGACCTTGAACCTGGGGCTTACCCTTGTATTTCCGCAGTTCCTTCACCACACACTTAGCTTCCTCCTTGATTCGCTCCTCAATGGTCCTCCTCCCCATGCCAAAGTCTCTCATGGTTGCCACAGTGAATCGTCGATGTGTCTTCCAGGACTTTCCATTGGCAAAGATCAAACCTGATTGGTGGAGCATAGAGGGGAATTTTGTAGGATACATGGGATGGTCCCTCATCCTCCCCTAAAAACCATACCCCTTCATCCTCCACTTACCAGTTCCCTCAAAGATTGGGTCAATGATGTCTATAGATCCTCGGCCAGAGACAGCCTCAGCCTGATCCACCAGGGCCTCCCGCACTGCCTTGTACCCCCACAGGATGACGTTAGGTTGGCATCCCAGGTAGAATGTGAAGACATCCCCATGTTTCTCGCGAAGCTGTGGGGGCAGGGTCCAGATCTCATTCTCTATCTTAATAGAAAGGGCTCCAATCTCACCTCTAGATTGTTCCTTCCAATGTAGACTAAATCCCACTGGCTGCGGCTCAATCAGATAAAAGGAATTTGTAATCAGGTAACAGGAATTTGAACTCTAGGAATCCCTCCAAGTTTCCCATATGTGCCCTGCTCTGGGCTCTCCTAAAAACCCTCCTAGTTTTAGTTTTTAAGATGTGCCGACAGAATGAAATGTGAGGAAAGAGAACATCTCAGTGGAATAATTAGTAATATGGAGATTGAAATGGTAATAATAAAAAAAAAACCTCCCAAAAACAAAAGCCAGGACAAGACTGCTTCATTAGTCATCTTACCAAAATCTCAAAGAAAACATACCTGTCTTTCTTCAATTCTTCAAACAACTGGAAGAAAGAAAGCTTCCAAAGGCATTCTACAAGGTCAGATTACCACGATTCAAAATCAGATAAGGTACCACACGCAAGAAAAATAATATCACAGGTCAAGCTGAATGTAGTTGCAAAATACGATACAGTATTAGCAAACTGAGTTCAAGAATGTATTAAAAAGGTCATATGTCGTGATCGTGTGGGATTTATTTCAGGAACACAAGAACGGCTCGACATATGTAACTCAATCAGCACATCTACCACCTTAACAAATGAAGGTGATAAACTCACATGATCATCTCAACAGATACACTAAAAGCATTTCACAAAATTAACATGCATTTATAATAAAAGATCTCAACAAAGTGGGTATGGCAAGAATGTACGGTCAACGTATAAAGGTCATGGATGACAATCCCACAGCTAATATTATACTCAATGGTGAAAAACAAAGTCTTTCCTCTAGGATCAGGAACAATACTAAGGATGCCTGCCATCCTCACTTTCATATAACCAGTATGGAAAGTCCTTGCCAGAGCAGTAAGATAAGAAAAAGATATAAAATCATGAAAGATTAAAAAAGGTAAAAGCATCGAAATGAGAGCAGGAAGAGTAAAATTGTCCCTGTTTGCAAAGAAAACCCAAGAGACTATTAGAATTAATCAACTTAGTAAAGTTGCAGTTTACAAAATCATTAGTCAAAGGAGCTTGCAATCCTATCACTTATAATGCACTAATAGAGAAATTACAAAAGCAACCCCAATGACAATCATGAAAAAGAATAAACTACCTGCTAATAAGTTTAAATAAGGAGGTAAAATACCTGAGATACTGTTTTTTTTAAGATTTATTTTATTTATGCATACAAGAACTGGGGTGTAGGCCAGAGTTGGGGGTGTGAGCAGATTCACCAGAGACAGAGTGGGGAACAGAACAGGCAGATCAACTGAAATACACTGCTGAGGGGAGCAGTGGACAAGACAGGAGAGGTCTGCTGTGCCATGGGCTCACCTCCCTGGCCAGGGATCAAACTCATGCTGCAGTGACTGGGGATAGCTTGATAGTGCTGAGACTTAACCCCTTTTGCCACCAGGGAGACCCAAGTGATATTATTGATAGAAATTAAAGAAGACACAAATAAAATGGAAAGATACTCCGTGCATGTGATTTGGAAGACTTAGTATTATATAGCTCCATATCACCCAAAGGAATATACAGAATCAGTGCCTGTCAAAAGTCTGGCATTTTCCACAGAAATAGAAAAAGACAAATCTAATATTTGAATGGAACCACAAGAGATCCCAAAGTCAAAGCAATACTGAGAGTGAAAACAAGACTGAAAGCATAATGCTCCCTGCTTTTGTTGCAGGGAGAGGATGTCCTGAAGGAACTCCACAAACTCAGGTTTTATGGATTCACCCCCATCCCAGGCCAAAGAGATTCAAGAGACTAAGGACTGCAAACCCCATAATGTCATCACCACTGAAGAGAGGATTGCTGGGAACTAAGGGTAGAATTAAGCAGCCAGGCTTGGTATAGACCCAGACATGGGCCGTGGGGGTCTCTTGGTTTTTCGCCAGCCTTCTGCATACTATTGGGGTCCCAGCTCAATGGAACTGGTAGGACGCATTCACCAATTAGTCTTGCTCCCGGTTATTCCTCTCTTCATCCCCTTCCCCCCGATTTTTTAAGATGTATTTATTCATATAAGAACTGAGGTCTAGGCCAGAGGTGCGGAGGTCAAGAGGATTCACGAGAGACAGAGTGGGGAGCAGAACAGACAGATCTACTGAAATACACTGCTGAGGGGAGCAGCGGGGAGACAGGAGAGGTCTGCTGTGCCTTGTGGGTCACCTCCCTGGCTGGGGATTGAACTCAGGCTGCAGTGGCTGGTGATAGCTTGATAGCACTGAGACTTAACCCCTGCGCCACCAGCGAGGCCCCAACTCTCCCTTTTTGTAAATAAGCCCTTATTAACCTTTTTGTGTGTGCCTGCACTTGAGTCTCATTGTAAGTCCTTTTAAGCGCAGGTGAGGACCCACATTCAGGCCAACCCCTTTCACATTGGGCTTGCCCTGTACAGTTTCAAACCATATTACAGACTTACTGTCATCAGTATAATTGACATTGGTATAAAAACAGAGCTATAGGGTCTCCCTGGTAGCGCAGCGGTTGAGCGCAGGGTTGCGAAGCTGCCCGTAAGCTTCCACGGCACCGGTTCAATCCCCGGCTGCTCCCCAGCCACCGGAGGAAGGTCCCACAAGGCGCGCAGACCTCTCCTGCCGCCCGCTGCTCCCCTCAGCATTGTACTTCGGTCCTTCTGCCTGCTCTGCTCCCCGCTCTGGCTCTGGTGAATTCTCTCATCCTCCCGCACTTCTGACTGTACCCAGTGCTTGTATAAATAAATAAATAAATCTTTAAAAAAAAAAACAAAAACAAAAACAGAGCTATAGGTGTGTGGAACACAGAGCCCAGAAATAAACACACAGAAATGATCCGTTAATTTCAGACTAAGGAGTTAAGGAGACACAACGGGGAAAGGACAGTCTCTTCAATAGATGGCATCTGAAACTGGAATGCCACGCGCACAGGAACAAAACTGGACCACTACCTTACATCACACCAAAATTAACTCAAACTGGGTTAAACTCTTCAATGTCAGACCTGCAGCCATAAAGCACCTAGAAGAAACGATAGACAGTAAATCCCTTGACATTGGTCTTAGTCATTTTCGGGGTGGAGGGGGAGCAGGTCTATTTTGGCAAGGCAAACAAGACAATAAAAAATGGACCGCATGGAACTAAACATCATCTTCCCTGTGAAGGCAACTATCAACTACATGAAAAGACTACATACTGATGGGTGAAGAGATAATCAGATCTAACATAAGACAAAGAGTCAATAGCCAGAGACATGGAGAACTTGAACAAGTTGCTCCCCAACTGCTTTGCTGCTTTGGACCCATTTCCAGCCCCCCACCTCCTGTTTTCCATCCCCTTGCCCCACCCATCTCACCGCCTGGAACGACTTGAGAAACCCCTTGGGGTCCACATGCAAAACATTTCCCAGGAAGGGCAGAGGCCAGGGCCCAGGTGGAAGGCGGCCCCTGGGTTTAGGTTGGCCCCAGAGTAGCAAGAGACCAAGGAGGACGATGAGGAGCAGGATGGCCGAGAACATCTCAGTCTCACTGTGCCAGTGTGTGCTCTGCTGTCTCTCTTAAGGGTAGGCTCTCAGAGGTGTTGTTTTATTGCTGTGATTAATGGTAGAGGGCTTCCAGCAATTTGCCTTGGCAGAACTCCTGGTAACTCTCCAGAGACAACAGGGAGCCTAAAATTGGCACTTGCAACAGAGGCTAAAAGTTGAACATTTCAAGCTCGGGCCCAAGAAGAGGTCTCAGTGAATTTTCACCTCAGATGGAGAGCTCCTCCCTCAAGGAAAGGTGGTGTTACTAGCTGGGAAAGTGTGAGGAGGCTGGGTTTGGGTGGTTGCACTGTGAGGCTGGCTCTCAGTCAGTGTTATCAAAGGGTGGTGTTATCTCAGGAGACGAATGCAAATTATTGGAATTGAGGAATTCTGGGTTCACTGAAGGGTGATTCTTGGCATCAGAAGAAAGTGAGGTAAATGAGGAACTATGGTCTAATGGCGTATGACTGGCTCCATGTTGAGTGGGTTGGGGATTGGCTATTTAGCCATTCATTTTTCCTCATAAAGTATTGTTTGTTGCTTATTGTTTATTTCCTAATCATAAACTTAACTTGCAATACAGATAGACTTGGAAGTGATAAGGAAGATATGGATCCAAAGAACTGTAGGGAAAGCAAACAGTTGATAGGATATTTCCAGTGGCTGGGGGTAGAGGGGTGCTCTCCTGTATGTTAAGACATACATCAAGAGCCTCCCTGGTGTCTCAGGGGGTCAAGTCTCAGCATACTTAAGCCATCCACAGCCTCTGCAGCAGGTATTTGATCCCCAGCCAGGGAGCTGACGCACATGGCGCAGCAGACCTCACCTGTCTCAGCCACTGCTTCCCTCAGCAGTGTATTTCAGTCAGTCTGCCTGTTCTGCTTCCCACTCTGCCTCTGGTGAATCCCCTCACCGCCCCCCCCCCACACAACTCTGGCCTGTACCTCAGTTCTTGTATGTATAAATAAATAAATCTTTAATTTTATATGAATTTCATCTTAATTTTAAAAGTATATAGGGAGTGAGGGGGCAGAACAGAAGAGGGATGAATGCAAAGGACTATGGTGATGGTTCACGGGTGACACTGTGGCGGGAGAACTATGGGGACTACAACGATGTAAGAAAAAAAGTCATACATGCAAAAGAATGAAGCTTGACCACTACCTCACACCATACACAAAAATCAACTCAAAATGGATTAAAGAACTAGACATAAGACCTGAAACCATAAAATACATAGAAGGAAATATAGGCGAAACACTACGTGATATGCACATCAAAGACATCTTCACAGACACATCACCCAAAGCAGTGATAGTGAAGGCAAAGATAAACAGCTGGGACTACATCAAATTAAAGAGCTTCTGCACAGCAAAAGAGACAATAACAAAAACAAAGAGAAACCCCACCGACTGGGAGAACATTTTTGCACCCAACACTAATGATAAAGGACTGATCACAAAAATCTGCAAAGAGCTGATGAGACTCAACAACAACAAAGAAATAATCCTGTCAAAAAATAGGCAGAATGGGAGGGCTGCAATTGTATGGGGAATATAACAATAAAATTTATTATTTAAAAAAAAAATGGGCAGAAGAGCTAAAAAGAAACTTCTCTGAAGAGGAAATGCAAATGGCCAACAGGCATATGAAAAAATGTTCAACATCACTTGTAATCAGGGAAATGCAAATCAAAACTACCTTGAGATACCATCTTACACCAGTGAGAATGGCACATATTAAAAGAACTAGCAACAACAAATGTTGGCGAGGATGTGGAGACAAAGGAACTCTCCTGCACTGTTGGTGGGAGTGCAAACTGGTCCAACCACTATGGAGAGCTGTGTGGAGATTTCTGGACCTACTAAACATAGAGCTTCCATAGGATCCAGCAATTCCACTCCTAGGTATTTACCCACAGGACACAGAAACATCAATTCCAAAGAGCACCTGCACCCCTATGTTTATAGCAGCACAATTTACAATAGCTAAGCTTTGGAAACAACCCAAATGCCCCAAAATAGATGACTGGATCAAGAAGATGTGGTACATATACACAATGGAATATTACTCAGCATTCAAAAAAGATGAACACATGCCATTTGCAGCAACATGGATGGCGCTGGAAGGGATCATGCTCAGAGAAATAAGCCAGAAAGAAAAAGGAAAATACCGGATGGTCTCACCCATAGCAGGGATCTAGAAAACTTAAATAAGGGACCAGGAAAATGAATAACTATAAGAAAGTGAAAATCAAAATCAACAAACAACTATGAACCAGAGACACTTTTTGGGGGGTGGGGGGCGGGAGGGGAAGGATTGGGGTCAGAATGGGGCGTTTGCAATTGTATGGGGGAATATAAAAATAAAATTTAATATTAAAAAAAAAAAAAAACCTCCCCAGTGGCTCAGCGGTTGAGCACTGGGTTGCGAGGCAGCCCGCAACCTCTGCAGTGCTGGTTCGATCCCCGGCCGCTGGGCGAGGGTCCCACATGGTGTGCAGACCTCTCCTGCCGCCCGCTGCTCCCCTCAGCAGTGTCCTTCGGTCCTTCTGCCTGTTCTGCTCCCTGCTCTGGCTCTGGTGAATTCTCTCACCTTTCTGTGCTTCTGAATGTACCCAGTGCTTGTATAAATAAATAAATCTAAAAATAAATTTAAAAAAAATTGCAGTTAAACATTAAAAAAATGAAAAGATATGTGTATGGGGCTGGTGGGAAACAAGGGTGAAGAAATTGAGTTCTGGAGCCAGACAGGCAGACCGTATCTTACTCGTCCCTCACGAACTATGTGACGTCCAAGAACTAACACTCTGGTCCAGACTCTGCTTATACATCTGCAAAATGGGCATGATCATTGCACCCCACACACACAGGGCGGTTGGGAGGAGAATTCAGGGGAGGATCACCCCTGCATGATAATAGAGCACCCAGAGGTGATAAATGGATTCTGAAGAAGTCACACAGAGTGCAGTATGGCTTGGGAGGCAGAACTGCTATGAGAACCTGAGCATCGGTACCCTTTTAATCTTTAGTCTGTACATGAGCATCACTCCTGGAGCTCCACTGTGAAGGCTTTCTTGAGTCTTTCCATGGCTGCAGCCTGATAGAAGAGATAAGACTGCAGAAAAGACTTCCCTTTGGAGGTAATAACCAAGGAAAGAGGACACTGCAGGTCTCTCAGAGGAAGGAAAACATGGAGAAAGTAGAGGCTACTTTTTTCAGAGCTGGGGACAAGTAATGACCCCAGAGTCTTTTGAAATACTTCCCTGGGGCCCCTTAGTTGGATGGGAAGTGAATCTGGTACTTCTGGGGAAGTTCCCACACCAAATTCTATAGCTGTAAGTTGATGTCCTTGGGGGCCACATGTGAAGTTCTGGAAGATGAAGGAGGAATAACGTGATGTGGGCAATGCCTTTGCCTAGACAAATAAGCTTCCCTGTGGCAAAAAGAAAAGCAATGTGGGCAGAAGAAATACCCTTTGTCCTGTGTTGCCCCACAGCCAAGAGATCTAAGTTGTTTGCAACAGATTTGCCTGGGGTTGACCTTTAAGCTGCAACTCCAGGGGAACTTTTAGAGGCTTCCCAAGCCTTCTGAAAACACACACCAGTCTTCAGGTGGAGCTGCCATAGACAGGGCAGAAGAGCATTTGCGGCTTCTGTTAGATTCCACATGGTTCCGTGCCCTTCAGAGTATATGTATTCACTACTGGTTGGTATGCTCTGTGCGGGTGTGTGCATGCGTGCGTGTGTGTATGTGCCTGTTAGAATGGACTTTTTAGATGTGATTGAGTGAAGGATCATCAGATTAGAATATTACCCTAGATTATCCAAGTGAGCCAATGACATGATCACAAGGATCCTTTTTTTTTCTTTAAAGATTTATTTATTTATGCATACAAGAGCTGGGGTGTAGGCCAGAGGTGCAGGGAGTGAGAGGATTCCCCAGAGACAGAGTGAGGAGCAGAACAGGTGAATTGACCAAAATACACTGCAGAGGGGAGCAGCAGGAGAGGCAGGAGAGGTTGTCTGCGCCATGTGGGTAGCTCCCTGGCCAGGGATCAAACTCGTGCTGCAGTGGCTGCGGATAGCTTCATAGTGCTGAGACTTAACCCCTTGTGCCACCAGGAAGGCCCCTCTGGGGTAATTTTATTTTTTTTAAAGATTTATTTATTTATTTATTTATTTATTTATTTATTTATTTATTTATTTATGCAAGCACCGGATACAGTCAGAAACGTGGGAGGGTGAGAGAGTTCACCAGAGCTAGAGTGGGGAACAGAACAGGCAGACTGATGAAATACACTGCTGAGGGGAGCAGCGGGTGGCAGGAGAGGTTTGCGCGCCATGTGGGACCCTTGCCGGCAGCCGGGGACCGAACCAGCACTGCAGAGACTTCGGGCAGCCTCGCAGCCCAGCAGCGCTCAACCGCTGCGCCACCAGGGGAGGCCTGCTCTGGGGTAATTTTGAAGGATTTTCTCTGCTAACATTTTTCTTTTTTGTCTATCCATTTCACAGCACTGATGTTTTAGAAGTAGAGGGACCTTATTTTTATTGGATCTGATCATAAGAGGCAACAGGTTACAGGCTACCTATCAGGCTAACATCTGCCTTGTCCGTGGAATGTTTTTCACAAGTACAGTCACAGGTTTTTGTGGACTGGGAGGAAATCAATGTAAGCTCAGGGGTAGGGTTTTTTTGGCCTATTATGCTGAGCCATATCAGATAGAGAAAGACAAATACCGTATGACTTCACTCCTATGTGGAACCTAAAATGCAAAAAAAAAAAAAAAAAAAAAGACTAAACCAAACAACACCAAGACTCTTGAAACAGAGAACAGACTGGTGGTTGCCAGAGAGGAAAGAAGAGGAGAACAAAGGGAGGGAACTGGGTGAAGAGGATCAGGAGCTAAAAATCACCTGTCATAAAAGAAATCATTAGGGCCTCCCCGGTAGCGCAGCGGTTGAGCGCTGGGTTGCGAAGCTGCCCGCAGCCTCTGCAGCGCCGGTTCGATCCCCGGCTGCTCCCCGGCCACCGGAGGAGGGTCCCACATGGTGCGCAGACCTCTCCTGCCGCCCGCTGCTCCCCTCAGCAGTGTCCTTCGGTCCTTCTGCCTGCTCTGCTCCCCGCTCTGGCTCTGGTGAATTCTCTCACCCTCCCGCGCTTCTGACTGTACCCAGTGCGTGTATAAATAAATAAATAAAAATAAATCTTAAAAAAAAAAAAACTTTAAAAAAAAAAAAAATCATTAACGGGAACGTGACACACGGCGGCCAACTACAGCCAATAATAATAATAACAACACTTTTCAAGAAAGTTGAAAATGCCACTGCGTGGTGAGCTATGATAACTATACTTACTGCGCTCATTTTGTAATATATGCAATTATCAAATCTTGGTATCCAGTCTACTTCAGTTTTCTTAAAAATAATGATAATGATGAAGGAATTGCAGAGACCTGGACAACCAGCTCCCTCCCAACCCCTTCAGCACCACAGCATCAAACCTCAGGTCTCTCAGAGGCTCTCCCTCCAGACTACATTCCCTCCACTCCTTCTCATAGGAATGCCATGGGGGTAGCTCCCAGGCCGGGGCTCAAATTCGTGCTGCAGAGGCTGCAGATAGCTTCAGAGTACTGTGCTTCACTCCTTGTGCCACCAGGGAGGCCCCTCTCTGTCCTTATTTCTCTGCTTCTCTAGGGAGCATATTCGGCCAGGTTTTGACTGGAAGATGAGCCCAAGCTGTTCTGCCAAGTCCCCTACAGACTTTGATTCTGCTTTGCTGTCTTGGACCTGTTTCACCACCACCCACCTTCTGCTTTTCACCCCTTTGCCCCACCCCACCTCACCACCTGGATGAACTTGAGAAAGCCCTTGTGTTCTATTTGCAAAATGTTCCCCAGGGAAGAGAGAGGACAGAGTCCAGAAGGAAGGCAGCCCCTGAAAGGTGGCCTCAGAGTAGCACTAGACCAAGGAGAATGAGGAGGAGGACCACTAAGAACCTCCCTGGTGGCGCAGGGGTTAAAGTCTCAGCGCTATCAAGCTGTCGCCAGCCACTGCAGCATGAGTTTGATCCCCAGCCAGCAGACCTCTCCTATCTCACCCACTGCTCCTCTTAGCAGAGGATTTCAGTCAGTTCGCCTGTTCTGTTCCCCACTCTGTCTCTGGTGAATCCTCTCACCCCCCACACCTCCGGCCTATACCCCAGTTCTTATATGCGCATATAAATAAAATAAATCTTTAAAAAAAAAGAAAAAAGAAAGAACCTGACTGTACTTGCTACTATCCTGATGTCCCCCTCTTCAATAGTTGGCCCTCTATTGTTTGTCGTTTTATTTCTGTGACTGCTGGTGAAGAGTTTCTAAGACTCTTACCCTGGCAGAACTGGTAATTTCCAAGCAACAGGGAACCCAAACATTCTGTAGAGAACAGCATGTCCAACATCTCACTGTCCGATCTCAAAGGAGCTTTCAAAATGAGATTTTAAGACTTGCCTCAAGGAAGGGCCATACCAACAGCTGGTGGAGCATGAGGACTCTGGCCCAGAGGTTGCCCCTGAGGATGGCTGTTATCAGTGGTGTCAAAGGGTGGCGTTGCAGCATGAGAAACTGAGTCACTGACAAGCAGAACAGGGGCATCATGTGCCCACTGGGAACACAGATTATTCTGGGCATCAGAAGAGAGAGCTGGAGACATGTCTGCTGGGGGATGTTAAGCTCCATGGGGGCCCAGCTGATTGAATCACTTGCTCAGTCCTTCATTTTTCCTTGGTAACTACTTTGATCACCCATCATGAGCCACACAAGCTCCTGCGCTGAGATGAGGGGGTTAGGAAGGCAGTGGGGCCTCCATGGAGCTGCACTGAGGGGAAGAGAAATTCTCCGCTTTTACAGATGTCACTAAGTAACCTCACAGTACATGGGTCTCAGGTGAAACCGCGCACCCCCTGACCCAGGGTGTCAGGGCTGAGGAGGTTGTTGGGAATAGCTGGGAGCCCGAGGCATCAGTTGTGAATCACACGGTCTCCGGAGGCCTGGGCTAAGGAGAAGCTTCCTTGGAACTGAAGAACTGAAGGAACCGGGAGCAAAAATGACAATAGTGAGGACAACCAAAGGGGGAAAACTGCGCCCTAGAACCTGTATGACTCTTGAACGATTTTTCAGTCCATTGGCTAACTGAAAGAACCAGACACAAAAGGTCGCATGTGGTATGAGATTCCATTTATAGGAGATATCCCAAAGAGGCCATCCATGGAGACAGAACACAGGTGGTGTTTGCCAGGGGTGAGGGGAAGAGGGAGTGGGGAGTGACTAGAAGCGGGTAGAGCTTGCTTTGGAACTAGGTAGTGGTGATGGCACAACAGCAAGAAGTAAATGCCTCTAATCTATGCACCATACGATGCTAAAGTTTTATGGTATTTATGTGAATTCCACCTGAATTCAAAAATTTCTGGGGAACGGGAAGTCAGTGAGGAAACTGAGTTCTGTCTGGAGCCAGGCCGACTGTGCATCTTGCTCCTCCCACATTAGCCATGTGACCTCCGACGACTGAGGTCCCCACCCAGCCTCTGTTTGTTTATACATCTGCAAAGTAGGCCTAATCAACACACGCGTGTGCGCGCGCGCGCGCGCACACACACACACACACACACACACACACACAGGGCTGTTAGGATGATTCAAGAGGCATCAGCTCTGAGCAGTTCCTGGAGCCCCTACAGTTGATAAAGGAAGCGTGATGGTTCTTGGGAAGGAGCGGTCGCTCTAGATGAGCCGTGGCCTGGGAGGCAGAACCTCAGAGAGCCTGAGCCGTGTTTCCCTGTAACCCTTGGTCTGTACAGACACCATTCCTGGAATTCTAGCAGCAACATGTCTCGAGCCTCTGGGGAACTGCAGCATGACGGGAGAGGGGAGACTACAGAAAGGATGCCCCATGGAGGAGGCCACCAGGGAGGGAGAAGGACACTGGCTTCCTGCAGGCCTCTGAGAGGAAGGAAGACCTGGAGAGACTCAGAGGCATTTTCTGCAGAGGTGGGACACGTGAGGAACCCAGAATCCTAGACCTCCCTGCCCCAGCTCCCTTAGCGGGGCAGGAAGCGGATCCGATAAGCCGGGGGCAGTTTGCCCACACCACACTCCATGGGTGTGAGGTCGATGTCCTCAGGGGCCACAGAGCTGTCCACGTTGAAGTTCTGGAGGATGGTGGTGAAGAAGAGGAATAACTCTGTGCGAGCGATGCCCTCGCCGAGACAAATGCGCTTCCCTGTGGGCACAAAGAATCCCGCGTGGGCAGGAGGCAGCTGCCCGTCCTGTGCCCGTCTCAGCCCGAAGCCCAGCCCCCCCGCCCACTGCACAGGTCTGCAAGGGGTTGACCTTTCAGCCACAGTTCCTGGAGGGCCTTGGGGGGTTTCCCAAGCCCTCTGAAGCCAGGCAGGTGTGCCCTGCAGCAGTTTCCGGGAGTCTGTGGCCTCAGTGAGGATCCCCCAGGGTTCAGGGCCCCTCAGAGTAGAAGCACCTGCTTCAGCTTGGACGTGCCTGGGGGCGCCAGCTCACACATGCCAGGGCTGTGTTCATGCTCACCTAACATTTTGAACGTCCTTGTCCTTGTAAGGGATCTCTGTGCCTACCTCATAGGCTGTTTGAGCTAAAGAATGTAATATTTGTAATTAGATTCACACCTGGTGTCTATCAAAGATCCTACTGGTATAGTATTTGCTTTGTGATAGTGATGGGGGAGAGCCATACCCTTCTAAAGTCTCAGTCCCCCCACCCCACCCCTTCAACAGTCTTTTCTCTCCTGCACTGTTCTTCCACCTATGCCACTATTTTCTGTCTCCTTTTGTTTCTCTCTCTCTCGCTCTTCATTTCCCTTAACCTCCCTCTCCCTCTCACCACTTCCCCTTCTCTCTCTCTCCGTCTGTTTCCTCATAGTCACTGTCTCCCAAGTCTCCATCTCTGTGTCTCTTTGTCCCTCTTTCGGTTTCTCACTCACCAGCCTTGTCTGCGTCTCTGTGTCCTTATTTTTGGTTTTTCTTTTCAAGATTTATTTATTTATACAAGAACCAGGGCACAGACCAGATTCGCAGGAGGGTGAGAGGATTCACCAGAGACAGAGAAGGGAACAGAACAGGCAGACTGACGAAATACACTGCTGAGGGGAGCAGTGGGCGCGGCAGGAGAGGTCTGCCATGCCATGTGGGACCCTTGCTGGCTGGCCAGGATCGAACCGGCACTGCAGAGGCTGCTGACACCTTCACAGCACAAAGCTCAACTGCCTGGGCCACCAGGGGAGGTCCTATTCCTTTTTGTTTTAAAGATCTATTTATGCATGCAGGAACTGGGATAGAGGCCAGAGGTGTTGGGGGAGGGGGACAGTGAGAGGATTCACCAGAGACAAAGTGGGGAGCAGAACAGGCCGAATGACTGAAATACACTGCTGAGGGGAGCAGCGGGCGAGACAGGAGAGGTCTGCTGTGCCATGGGGGTAGCTCCCAGGCCGGGGCTCAAACTCGTGCTGCAGAGGCTGCAGATAGCTTCAGAGTACTGTGCTTCACTCCTTGTGCCACCAGGGAGGCCCCTCTCTGTCCTTATTTCTCTGCTTCTCTCTAACCTTAGGGCAGGACGAGTGCTCAGGGAGTTACCCTCCTGCCACTTCACGCCCCAGCGCTCAATTCAGAAGAACTAAGGTGCTCAGTGCCCTGGGCGGAGCACAGCCCCGGGGCCCTGCAGTCACAGAGGGAACCCGGGATTAGGGGCTTGTTGCTGGAGCACCCCATTCCCCCAGAGGACCAGCACCTGAGCATCAGGGTTTTCTCTGGAAGAGTCAAGGTGGAGAATGGGGGGTGGGGCGGAGCATCTGCACACGCCCAGCCCAGTCTTTACCCTCGTGCTGCCTGTACCCACACCCAGGCTCTCTGTGCTCCCAGAGCCTGTCCAGGGCGCCGTGCTCTGTCCACCTGCAGGCGGTGGCCCTGCTCCTCTGTGGGGAACGGTCTTTGCAGCAGCTGACCCAACTCACCCCTGAGGTCTTTAACTTAGCAGCCAGTGCTCCTGTTCATCTTTCCCTCCAACCCGCCCAGAGAGCTTCCCCTTTGCTCCCAAAGCCCCTTGAGAACACTTACTGCAATATGACTTTATAATGATCAGAGTCCTGGCCCTTCACAGCAATTACTGGGCGACCTCAGCCCAAGCCTATCTAAGCTGCCCGTGCTCTAAGCTGTTTTGTGAGCACAAGGAGTGCACCCTGGCGGGGTGTCCTCAGCTCAGGGCAGGCGCTGTGGCTCAGGCCCCTGGGCCATGTGTTATCTTCGCCCCCAGAAACTGCTGAGGAAGCACAGACCCTTCTTGGGTGTCAAAGGGGGGTTGGCACCTGCACACTGGTCCCGGGAGGCCGGGTGTGCCGTCTTACCTATGGAGAAGGGCAAAAAAGCGTCGCACTTCTTCAGTGCCCCACTGGCGTCCAGAAAGTGGTCAGGGTTGAAGGTTTCTGGTTTCTCAAAGTACCGCCGGTCATTGAGAGCAGAGTTCAGGATGGGAAATACTTCAGTGCCCTGGAGGAGTGTTGCAAGATCAAAAGATATTGCCATTTCCTCCCACATGCTACCCCTGAAATATCAAACCCTAGTAACAGAAAACTAGTAACAGGTCACTTTAGAGATTCACACCAAACTGGGCTCACCTTGGGGATGATGTACCCTCGGAAATGAGTGTCTTGGGTGACTATATGGGGCACCCCGATGGGGAGGAGGTCTCCGAATCTCTGAATCTCATGGATGACTGCGTCAGTGTAAGGCATGTTGGCTCGGTCCGTGAAGACTGGAGAGCGATTGGAGCCAACCACCCGGTCAATCTCCTTTTGGACCCTCTCTGCGCATAATAATGAGACCTGTGAGTCTCATTTCCAAGAGACAGTTTAGCAAAAGCACTGCATTCTCTGCGCTCTCAAGCCACGGAAAACCTACAGTAAAGGGTTAGATCATTGACCCCCTTTAGGGCAACCAGGGTGGGGAAGGATGAGCGCAGCAGCAAGAAACCTCACCCTTTGAAATACAATGAATGGGATGGATTTTCTCACTGTGCGAACAGGGACACACACAGACACACACACACACACACACAATTTCAGATGAAGAGCTGAGGCTATGAACTTGATGAATAGAAATTAACTATCTTTCTAAAAGATTGATTTATGTGTGCATCTAAGAACTGGGGAACAGGCCAGAGGTGCGGGCAGTGAGAGGACTCATCAGAGACAGAGAGGGGAACTGAACAGGCAGACTGACTGAAATACACTGCTGAGGGGAGCAGCAGGGAGACAGGAGAGGTCTGCTGTGCCATGTGGGTCAGCTTCCAGGCCCAGGGATCAAACTCAGGTTGTGGAGGCTACAGATAACTTTGTAGTGCTGTGCTTAACCCCTTGCACCACCAGGGAGACCCGGAAATGAACTGTTAATATAACAGTGACTGGGCCCTCCCTGGTGGGGCAGGGTTAAAGTCTCAGCACTGGGCCTCCCTGGTGGCGCAGTGGTTGAGCGCTGGGTTGCGAAGCTGCCCGCGGCCTCTGCAGCACCGGTTCGATCCCCGGCTGCTCCCCAGCCACCGGAGGAGGGTCCCACATGGCGCGCAGACCTCTCCTGCTGCCCGCTGCTCCCCTCAGCAGTGTGCTTCGGTCCTTCTGCCTGCTCTGCTCCCCGCTCTGGCTCTGGTGAATTCTCTCACCCTCCCGCGCTTCTGACTGTACCCAGTGCTTGTATAAATAAATAAAAATAAATCTTTAAAAAAAATAAAAAAATAAAGTCTCAGCACTATCAAACTATCACCAGCCACTGCAGCGTGAGTCCAGTCCCTGGCCAGTGAGCTACCCACATGGCACAGTAGACCTCTCCTGTCACCCGCTGCTCCCCTCAGCAGTGTATTTCAGTAGCTCTGCCAGTTCTGCTCTCTACTCTGTCTCTGGTGAATCCTCTACCTCCCCCCACCTCCCGCTACACACACACCTAGACCCCAGTTCTTGTATGCATAAAAATAAAATAAATTTTAAAAATATATATACATATATAAAACAGTGACCCAAGAACTGTGTTTAAATAAATAAATCCTTGGACCAGTTGAAAAACGGAAAGATAGATGAAATGAAGAACAACCAACCAAAAGATACACAGATTTACTTATCCAGATGAGTTACTAATCCCAATAAATTAATGACTCATTAATGAATTAATGGCCCAGAAACCAATAAATGAGTGACCTTGGTCAGTCAATCCCATGAATGGATGTGATTGTACAACTAGGGAAGGAATGAGTAGGGAGAGGAGTAACTGAATAGATGGTTTAATTGAAGTGCGGTGAATAATTGAGTGGATTGTTCAGTGGGTGAATGAAAGAAAGATGGATGAAGGCACAAGTGAAAAACGGATGGGAGGATTAAACTCACAGCTCAAAGGACAGATGGACTCCTGATTTAATTAACGAATGAGCCAGTAAATATATGGGAAAGGTTCATTCAATGAGTCACTGTTTCAGTGGATCAGTAGAGCAATACTTAGTCCAAATAAGTGAATGAAAGTGTGTAACTGTGGATGACTCACTGATTGAGAATCAGCATATACAGAGTAGCTAATAAATGAAAGGACAGGTAGGTCAGTGGATGGGTGGATAGGTAGTTGGACAGAGGAGAGGGAGGGAGGGGTGAATGGATGGAAGGTTGGATGAGTTGATCTTAAAGTGATGGGAGAAAACAGTGGGGGACAAGTCAAGGGATCCCTCCTTCATCCATCTACCCGCACAACTGACTGAGTTGGGACCTCCTTCCTGCAGTGCTGGCCTAAGAGGGGCCGCTGAGTCTCTCATTCGTGTGAAATCCCTGGCCCCACTTCTGCTGCCCAAAAAGGGGTCTGAAGACCCCTTCCTATAATTGTCCTTGACCCCCACCTCTGATGTGGGGATATTTGAGCATGAGCAGGAACCCATAACGCAGGGTGGTGCTGGTCGTCTCTGTGCCGGCGAAGAAGAGGGAGAGCGTGGTGATGATGAGGTTCTTGTGGTGGAACACGCTGTTGGGGTCGGACTTCTCCTGGGAGCAGAGAGGTGGAGTTTGTGTGAGGAGATCCTGGAGCCTGAGCTCTCTCCCCTCCCTGGCGCCCTCCTTGTCCGAGACCCCCGCACCAGCTCACACCCTTGACTTTTCTCTGTCCTGGCTGCAGCCATCCAGTCAGCCTGTCTCCATCAGTCCCTCTCCACTCTGTCTGACCTGGTTTCCATCTCTGTATTGACCTCTTGGCTGCCCTTGTGGTCTCTCCACCTCAGGGTGATTATCCCCCTCAGTTCCCCTTGCATCTCCCCTCCCTTTTTCTGTTCTCTCCTGCCACCCTCTCTGCTTCCCTCTGCTCCCCTCCCCCCTCCCTTATCCCGCCCCATCCTTTCCTCCCTCCCCCCGATGCCTATCCCCCCCAAGCCTCACATTTTCCATGCGGAGCAGGTAGGTGTCTATGAAGTCCCGGGGCGCATTGGGATCCAGGGTTTCCCGGTGCTTCTCCACACTACGGCCAATGAAGGCATTGATTTCCTCCAGGTGGCTCCAAACTTTCCTGTGTGTGCCAGGAAAGTACTTCATGACGCCAGAGAAGAGCTCATACAGCTGTGGAGGAGAGAGGGGCTGTGAGTCCACCTGGGGCTGAGGAGCAGGTTACAGGGAGGAGCTGCCTCCTGGTGCTTAATCCTGCACTGCACGGACGTTCCAGAGGGGGGCGCTCGCTCACGCTCTTTCTCACCCTTCTCTGTGCTGGCTCTGAGAATTCCTTTATCTCTGTCTTTTGTTGGTTTTGCTCTGTCTTATCTCTTTCCCTCTCCTCTTCCTTTCTCTCCTCTCTCTCTATTAAGCCCTCACCTCAGTCTCTCTGATCCTCTATCACTACCCCCGACACTCCCTCCCCTTTCTTTCTCTTAGTCTCCCCCACCATCTCTCCCCTCCTCCAGGTTTCTGCATCCATCGCTGTCTCTCTTGCCCATCTGTGTCTTTCCCTGTCTAGCACCTCGGCACTGTATTTCTGGGGACTCAGAGCAGATGACCCTTTCCACCCCCCACCCCCCCCACCCCCGAATGTGCACCTCATCCCGCCCTCGCTCAGCCTCTCCCCAACCTGGCCTGAGAAGGAGCTGATGAGCGCGAAGGATCTGTAGAACAGGTCCAGCAGCCTCAGGAACTCGGGGTCTTTGTACTCAAAGCGTTGTCCAAAGACAATGGAGCAGATGATGTTGGCAGTGATGGCATGGAAGAAGAAGGTGGGGTCCTGGAGGGTTCCTAGGAGGGAGAGGTCAAGTCAAGGCGCAGAGACCTGGGAAGCCTGTGGCTGCCATCCAGGCTATATGGCCACCCGCCCTGGCTCCTTGCTCATCAAGGGAGCAAGAACAATGTATCGTGTGCCAGGGCCGTCGGATAATACACAGTGTTTCATTTTATCCTCACCACAAGCCAGGGCTGAAGGTGCACTTCTGTTGTTGTGGCCGATACATAGATGGGTGGAAAGGTTAAGCGGTTTGAGCAGGGTTACCCAGCTCTCATCTCTGAGACAGGGTCAGACCAGGCAGCCCATCTGCAGAGGGTAAGACTTGGGCACCATTGGCCCACCCCCCCACCCCGACCCCTGCTGGACTTTGGGAACAGGGCAGGCACATGTCAGGGCAAACTCCATCACAGCTACAGACTTTCAAACTCTGCTCTCCCTCTCCCTCATTCTGTCTCTCTCCTTCGTGTTGTCTTTCTGCTCTGAGGGTTGTCTGAGAATCCTGTACCTGTCAGTCTGTACACCTCGGGTGCAGACCTGGCTCTGCAGGGAGAGACTATGAGCCCAGAAGTTCAGCCTGCAGGTGGCTGCAGCGGGTCCCACCCGTCTGTCCCTCTCTTTCCATCTGTCTATAATTTTCTCCCCCTCAATTTCTCTATGCCTTTGTCTCTTACTCTCTTAGTGTCTTCCTCTGTCTGTCCTGTTCCCCCATCTCTGCCGTTCTCTGTCTTCCTGTCTTTCACTGCAGTCCCCCTGAACATCTGCTCTGTTGCTCCCTGCGCTTCATCATTGGGAAAGTGGAGTGCTCAGGCCCCTTCTCACTGCCACCAGCACCCATGCTTTCCTCCCAAGTCTCATTGCCCACACGTGATACCGTGTTGGTGCAAGTTGCACTTAGAAGCACGAGCGTGGTATACACATGGGCACCCAGGGCCTATGCCTAGAAGCCAGCAGGTAGGGGCGCACATACCTGTCAGTAGGGATGCCCCAAAGAGATCATTGCAAGATGGAGATAGAGAGAGAATGCTAGAGAGAAGCCCGAGAGAGGGCGAGGTCACTCTGAGACTAGGGGCCTCAGCTGATACCTCCCTTCCTGGTCTGCCTGTGTCTGGTTCCCTGATTCAGCATTAAAGGCATAGTAGAATACTGAAGGCTCCAAAATTCTCTTTTCATCTGCCCGGATCAACAAGGAACCTGCCCAGCCTGGATCGGTTGCACAACATTCACCCTCTACTTTTCCCTCCCGGACTCCACAACTATGTCTGGCAATATCTGCCTAGGACCCTGTCACTATGCGTCTCATAAACACCCTCGTAGGAGACTGCAAGACCACCAGAGATGCTTCTTTGCCAGTCTTCACAAAAGCAAAATACCCCAACTGCCCTCTGTGATCACTGCCAGCTCACCAGCAGGTCACCCCCAGAAAAGAAAGCTCAACTGGTTGTTTTCAAAGGTCTGTTGTTTTCCTTTGACCCTATTTGCTCTCTTGTATCTAAGACCCACTTCTACCTTTGACAGATACGATCAATCCATGCCTTGGTTTCCATGAACCCAATAAACGGTGGGCTCATGTCTAAGTTTAGTCTTGGGGTTATTCTTGCCAAGAATAACTCAGTATCTCTCCTGGTTCTTCTGGCTCCCTCCTACCCCTATCTGTCCCCAGTCCCTGTGTCCGCATCCTTCTGTCTGATGTTTCTAGGGTTGTCTCTCTCCCTGTGGAGCTCTTTCTCTGCCCAGTTCATCCCTCTGGTTTCCATTGCTATTGCTCTGCTTGTCTTTGGTGTTACTCTTTTTCTCTCTGACCTGGTCCCCCTGGCCTCACCCTTGGTCATCTGGAGTTCCTTCACCAGGCACTGAGCCTCCTCCTGGATCCGCTCCTCCACACTCCGCTTTCCCATCCCGAAGTCCCTCAAGGTGGCCAGAGAGAATCGCCGAAGGGCTTTCCAACGCTCCCCGTTAGCAAAGACCACACCTGGGAGGAGGGATGGAGAGGAGGTGTGGGTTATAGAAGAAGAAGGCAGTTCTGCATCCACTCCACTGCAGCTCCTGCCTTTTCAGACTCACCCTCTCTAGCCCCTTCTTCCCTCCCATCTCTTCTCGGGCCCCTTGGGCCTCTTACCATAGTCCTGGAAGATTGGATCAATCACAGCAATTTTCCCTCGGCCAGAGAAGGCATCAGCATTGTCCACCAGGGCCTCCCGTATGACCTCTGCCCCACATAGCATGACCACTGGCCTTGGCCCCAGGTACACCATGAAGACATCCCCATATTTGTCTCGGAGCTGCCAAGCACACAACACCCAGGGTTGGTATTAGTTAGAGTGCATCTCTGTGGCCATCCCAGCTGTTAAACCATTAGAACACTTACAAATTAGTCACCACCCCAGTAGTTCCACCTCGGCTTCCTCTCCCTGTAGAGGAGCCAGACATTAAAGGATGAACCATGTATCAAGGCGAGTCTGCATGATCAGTGCCCTCAGCAGTATATGTCGTTAAATATTTCTACTACCAACGTTGCCCACACCCTTGAGTCTGGTCACACCTCTCTGCCATTGGAACTAAAGTTTCATCCTTCTTATGGCCCAATCTCAACCTGTTACCTACCTCTTGGAAAATTCACTGGAAAATATCCCTGTGCCACCTACTTGGTAGAAATGAAGGGAGAATGATAAGCTTCTGGGGGATAGTGAAGGCTGAAAAGTAATAACATTAGCACAACCACTTGGGAAACTGCTCAGCAGTATAGTCATTCATCGCATGATGAAGTTTGGGTCAATATCGGGCAGCATATTACAGTGGTCTGAATATGTGGTACCATTGAACTTATGTGCACAGTAACCTCTACACTTAGACTTCTGTAATTACACTCTATAGAGCTGTCACAATGATGAAATCTCCTAACTACACAATCTCAGAATGTATCCCATTGTTACTTGATGCCTGATTGCATTTACTTAAGCCAAACATAAGTATACTCAGTGACTCAGCCTGCAGTCTCTGCAGCACCTGTTCAATTCCCAACAGCCAGGCAAGGGTCCCACATGTCGCACATACCCCTCGTGCCGCCCGCTGCTCCCCTCAGCAGTGTACTTCGTCTGTCTGCCTGTTCTGCTCTCCACTCTGGCTCGGGTGAATTATCTCACCCTCCCGCATTTCTGACTGTACCCAGTGCTTGTATGAATAAATCAATCTTGAAAAAAAAAGTTGTACATATAGCCACAGAAAAATAAACAAGAAGAGTTATATACATATTATCAATAATGTGTTCAGCAATAGTATATAGAATAAATAGTACTGTATTTATGCTGTGGACAACTACGCAGCAATGAAAAAGAAAACCCACTGCTATGCCTAACATCATGACTGAAATTCACAGTTGTAACTGTTGAGTGACAGCAATGACACGAAACTGTCCATACGTCATAATCCTATTTATAAGAAGTTTAGGGCCTCCCCGGTGGCGCAGCGGTTGAGCGCTGGGTTGCCAGGCTGCCCACAGCCATTGCAGTGCCGGTTCAATCCCCGGCTGCTCCCTGGCCACAGGAGAAGGGTCCCACATGGCGCACAGACCTCTCCTGCCGCCCGCTTCTCCCTTCAGCAGTGTACTTCGGACCTTCTGACTGTACTCAGTGCTTGTATAAATAAATAAATAAATCTTTTTAAAAAAAGTTTAAAAGCAGATAACTTGAGACTGATTCTGGATAGTGGGACGGTGGTGACTTGAAGGGGGCATGAGGAATATTTTAGGCATAGACCCTGTTGCTACTTCTCTGAATGTCAGTTACTTGAATTGAATATGCCCGTTTGAGACATTCACTAAGCTGGGTACTTAGGAGTGTGTGCTTTTTAGGTTGATATTAATTGCAATAAGTAGTTGACTTATAATCATGAACGGGTTAATTTTGTTAAAAATTTTTCTTATTGCTCCCTGGAAATCTCACTAGTCTCCCTACTTCCATTCCTCTGTCCCCTATAATCATCTTGCCACCCAGACCACTCCATTCTGAAGCCAGAGTACGCCCGTTGATGGAAAGTGATTAATATCCCTAGCTTGCTCCATCCCCCAAGGCTCCCTCCACACTGAAAATAAGACTGCTCCACTGTGGTACATATCACCCCTCTGCTTCTCATCCCACTCACTCAGACCCAGTCTCCCTGTTCTCGCTCACACATTAAGAGTCTCTCCACTTCAGATTCCTTGCAGCATCCCTGCCTCAACCAGTGCCTTCCACCTGCATCTCTCAGGATCTCTCCGCACGATCAAAGCAAGACTGAGCTTTTCTTTACCCATTCAATCAAAAGGAACTCCCACTACTCTCTGAGGTAGCATCCTGCTTTATTTTACTCACAGCTCTTATATACCTAATATTCCCTTCTTTTAGTTTATAAGCCTTGTCCAACACCTAGAAATTTTCCCCAAACAGAATCTACTCTGTTATTATTGAACGATTGAATAAATGAAAGAGTGGATCAAAGTAACTGCATTTAATGAGCACTTACTATACACCAGGCCCTCTGCTCAACCCTGATTAATCCTCACAGAGTCTTAATGGGCACACAGTCTCAGCAACATTTCATTTTACATAAAAGGAAACTGAGACACAATGAGTAAGAGTGGAATCTAGAACATGAACCTGTGTTTGCCTGCATCCAAAAATATTTGGGAGCTTGTAGGAGAATTGCCACTCTCGCCAACCCATTCCATTCCATCATGTCATCACACACCCAAGTCTCTCCCCTCCTCGCTCCTTCTCTCTTTCTCTCTCCTCTCCTCTCCTTTCTTCTCCTCTCCTCTACCCTCCATTCCTCCCTCCCACTCCCCCCACTGCAGTTCTGCTTAGAAATGCAATGATACTGGAGGCTCTTGGTCACCCAGAGGGTCTTTGAATGTCCTTGGAAGAGCTTTAAGAAGTCTCGATATTTTATTCATAAGAGAGTATGGTTGAGGACTTCCCTGGTGGTGCAGGGGTTAAGATGCAACCTATGAAGCTATTCCCAGCCACTGCAGCACGAGTTCTATCCCCTGGCCAGCCAGGGAGCCACCCACATGGTGCAGCAGACCTCTCCTGTCTTTCCCACTGCTCCCTCAGCAGTGTGTTTCAGTGGATCTGCCTGTTTGGTTCCCCGCTCTTGTCTCTGGTGAATCCTCTCATCCCCCACATATCTGTCCTTGTATGCATAAATAAGTAAATCTTTAAAAAAAAAAAAAAGTGAAATTCTACATGGAGAGTCATGGTGCAGAGCACAGCCAATGTCCCATGAGAGCCATCCTGCTGCCCCTCCTCCTCCCCCAGTCCTGGCACTGACACCTGGCCAGATTTGCTCTCCTTTGTTAGCTGGGGACAGCCTTACTTGATTGGTGCCACTGCCCCTTCTGCTCTTCATTGGCAGGCAGGGACCCAGGAAAGTGGCAAAGAGGTGGCAAAGCGGTGAAACACTACACCAGTGCACACACCCGGCCTTCTCTCCAAACCCACTTGTTTGCTCCAGGAACAGCACCTGCTCACCGCCAGCCAAGCAGGGTGCCTCTGGTTCTCTGACCACCACCCACCAGTCTTCATGCCCATGCCCTGCTCACCACCCTCCACACCCCACTCCTGAGCCTGGACGGTGCCTCCCTCTTCCTGAGTGACTCCCAAGTGCCAAGGCACGGAGCCCCCTGAGGCCCCGTCCATCATGTCTCACCTGCAGGAAGGATTTGAGAAGACCTCTTCTATCCATCTGCAGAAGGTTCCCCAAAAAGGGCAGAGGCCGAGGACCTGGTGGGAGGCGTCTGTACGCCTTAGGCTGGCCCCTGGCCATCAGAAGCAGGAGTCCCGTGAGGACAGCCAGGAGGAGGAGGACGCTGAGCTCCATGGTGCTGGTCTGCCTGCCTTCCAATGGCTGCAGCCAGGGGTGGGGCCTTTTATCTAGAATCTGTAGCCCCAGCCAGTTGTGTAATTCACCCATTCTCCGCCCCCACTCTCCTCTGCTCAGAGTAGGGACTGCTCAGGCAGCCCCATGGCCGCTCACTGTCTTCCCGCACACCCTCCATTTGTTTCTGTTCTATCTGGATGCATGTCCCTAGTGATTAGATAAATTTCATTGTTTCTTCATCTGTGAGCCTCTATTCTTGATTTCAGTTAATGGTCCCATGAGGTTTTGTTTACATTACTATGCCTTCAGTATTTTATGAGCTGGTGTTCCTCCTGAGACATTTAACTATCCTTGTTCTGTCTATTTCTTCGTCCTTTTTGGTGTATTGTTGTGGACTCAATATTCTTGTTCACGTACCTGGTTTTCTACTCCTGTTGTCATTTTGCTCAGGATTTTGTGTTTCGTTTTTTGCTTGTCTTACAGAAGAACTCACTTTAACAGTGCTTATATGGCATCTCTGATGCTGATTAAAGCCATTGCTTTTATTTGCCCTGGAAAACCTTTATTTCAGCTTCATACTTGAATGATAATTTTGAAGGATGTAGTATTCTTGGCTTACCTTTGAGAATTGTGAGCACTTCCGTCCCCTTTCTTCTTGTCTGTAGTGTATTTGGCTCACATTCCAAGGAAAGCCAAATTTGTGTGTCTTTTTATTTTCTTTTTCCTTACTTTCTATAAAATTTTTTCCTTTATCTTTGGTTTTTAATGATTAAGCAGTGGCGTGTGTCGGTGTAGATTGTTTTGGAGCAAAGCTTCTTGAGAGTGACTAGGTGGAAACCTTCCTGCCTCTCATGACCTCACTTTGGAAGTCACACAGCTTCCTATGTTCTCATATGCAGCCAGTCCTCCCAACTCCCCTCCCCAGAAACTGGCAGAAATTGTATTTCTCTGCTCATTTAATACTAGAAGTGGCCACATGACTTGTTTTGGTCAACTGAACATAAGTTAATGTGATCTTATTTTTTTAAAGATTTTTTATGCACACCAGAACTGGGGTACAGGCCAGAGGTGCAGGGGCTGAGAACATTCACCAGAGACAGAGTAGGGAGCAGAACAGGCAGACTGACTGAAATACACTGCTGAGGGGAGCAGCGGGTAATTCAGGAGAGGTCTGCTGTGCCATGTGGGTAGCTCCCTGGCCGGCCGAGGATCAAACTGACGCTGCAGTGGCTGTGGTCAGCTTCATCATAGGTTGTGTTAACCCCTTGCGTCACCAGGGAGGCCCCTGATCTTATTCTTGAAACAGTTACTTTTATTATTAAGTTGTTACTGCTGCTGATATTGTTGTTATTAAAAGAGAAGGAAACAGAGAGAAAAACTCAGCCCTACAAGATGGCCTCAGAGTTTTAGAGACAGAGCCACAGAGATTGACATTCACAGAGAAATGAGAACACAGAGAAAATTGGTGAGAGGGAGAGAGCAGAAACTGAGAGTAACAAGAATCAAGTCTCGTCCAAGGGAAGAGGGCCAGTCCCACTTTCTTCTATCCCTGGGTCATTTCTGGCCTTATCGTATCAGTCAGCTGATGCTACGCTATGCTACAGTAACAAACAATTGCAAGACCTCAATTGCTTCCAGCAGCAAAGGTGTGTTTCTCACTCACATTCATTTTCATGGAGAGATAGCCAAGATTCTGCTGCAAGTCTTCATTTTGGGCCTCAGGAATCTGCCTAGTATGGAAGCAGAGGAAAAAGAGGGCTGGTGGCAACCCAGGCAGGGGCTCTTAATGCTCTTGCTGCCACGACCCCCAAATGTCTGCTTGCCTCCCATTGGCCAAAGCAACACTTGGGGCCAAGTTTGGTGTCTCTAGCATGGGGAGCTATAATCTATCTGCAAAAAGGGCTCTACAAGGAAGGACAGTGACTGCTTTGAAGAATCTGTCAAAAATCTCCCACAGCCATCAACTGTACCTGTTCCATAACTTTGTGACCAGCCAACCAGCACCTTTTGTACCAGGCCCTGGGGTGTGGTAGGGTCACTATTCTGATGAGGCCTAGATCCCTGGTGTTTTGATAGCATCTATGACAGCTGTATTTTTTCCAAGACAGACTTAGGTATATATGTTATTATAATATTTATATATATATATATAAAATGCTATATTATATATTATAGTATAATTACATTGTGTTGTATATGTATTTATGTAATATATATGCATTGTATACAGTATCTATAGTATATGTAATGTAATATGTTGTTATATTACATGGCTAAGTGCCAGGCTGCCACTGGTCCCTCCCTGAATTATTTCACCCACCCTGTTGCCCAGGTACCACTGTCCCCATAAACCGGTTAGGTGTCGGTGACAAACCCTATCCCTCACCGCTCCTCAACCAAAGCCAACAATGTAGTGGGTCAGCCTCTCCCTGCTCTCAACTAAGGTAAAGGCACTAAGAGTTAAGACACAGCAGGACTGGTCTGGTGAAGAAGTTGCACCGACCATAACAGCAAAGCTGCCTCCAGGCAAATGAGTAACTTCAAGAAAGACAGTCTCCAAGGCATCTGGCATGGCTAAAACGCTCAGTTCCCAGAAGATAAGGCTCTGAATGCACAGGGCAAATGTTTCCCTCCACCTGCAGACAATATATGATGGGTGCATTGATGGGACACCTGGCCAGGTGTTCTTTGTAAAATTGTCAAATTGTTCCCTTCCAAACTGGACAAAATCCTCATTGAAAACCTCACCATTCAGGCATCTTCCAAGAACTGTCTGGAGTTTTCCCCTGCTCTCAAGCCCTCATCTTGACTCTTTATAAACTCACTTTGTTGCCACAGTTGATTTAAGATATCGGATGCTTTCTCTGTCCTCTGTGCCCACTCCTCAAGCCCGGTGGGTCTGAGAACTGCCCTTGGGATGGGAGGTTGTGGCAGCGACATGGTGTGACTCCACAACCAGATCACAGAAGGTAGTGCTGGCAACTCTCAATTTGCTGGCTTGGGATCCAACACAGGTACCCTCAAGACTGGTTCCAGTGTCACCATTTCATCCCTGTGGGTGAATCCCTGGCTGCTGTGCCACCGTCTTCGAGCTAAGAGGCAGGGGCTGAGGGGAAGGCCCTCAGGGGAAGGCCCCTCTCCATGCATGGCTGGCCTTCCTGCCTCATGGCCACAACAGCCACTCCAGGAGCTCACCTGGCTGGGGTGAGACTCAGTCTGACCAAAGAACAGTGACTTCGCCTCTGACCTCAACTTGAGGATTTATTTACTTATGTGTCACATAAATAACGTTAACATAGTCCAAGCACTTCTCTTGTGAGTGTGTGATTATCTCATTTAATCTGCAAAGCAGTTTGTGACAGTATCTGAGGAAGGTCCAGTCCCCCCGCCCCACAGGTCAGGAGGTGGAGATCAAAGAACCCCTTCCTTCATTACCTCCATGAAGGGGCCAAGAAGCAGGGTCCTCCTCTCCGAAGATGGAGAGCGTGTCCCCAAGGGAACTACTACCAGCTGGTGGAACAGAGAAGGCGGGGCCGGAGGTTGCCCCTGAGGCCGGCTCACATCAGTGGTGTCAAAGGGTGGCTTCCCAGCACAAGAAACCAAGAGTCACTGGCAGGCAGAACTGGGGCATCATGTGCCCACTGGGGACAGAGATTATTCTGGGCATCAGAAGAGAGAGCTGGAGACATGTCTGCTGGGGGATGCTTAGCTCCATGGGGGCCTGGCTGATTGAATCACTTGCTCAGTCCTTCATTGCTCCTTGGTAACTACTTTGATCACCCATCATGAGCCACACAAGCTCCTGCGCTGAGATGAGGGGGTTAGGAAGGAGCTGCATGGAGCTGCACTGAGGGGAAGAGAAATTCTTCCCTTTTACAAATGTCACGAAGTAACCTCACAGCACATGGGTCTCAGGTGAAACCACGCACCCCCTGACCCAGGTTGTCAGGGCTGAGGAGGTTGTTGGGAATAGCTGGGAGCCCGAGGCATCAGTTGTGAATCACACGGTCTCGGGGGGCCCTGGGCTGAGGAAAAGCTTCCTGAGAACTGAAGAAGGGACCAGGAGCAAGAATGACAATGATGAGGACAACCACTCCTGGAGTGGCTGATGTGGCCGTGAGGCAGGAAGGCCAGCCACACATGGAGAGGGGCCTTCCCCTCAGCCCCTGCTTCTAGGTTCTGCGCCCTAGAACCTGGATGACTCTTGAACGATTTTTCAATCCATTGGCTAACTGAAAGAACCAGACACAAAAGGTCGCATGTGGTATGAGATTCCATTTATAGGAGATATCCCAAAGAGGCCATCCATGGAGACAGAACACAGGTGGTGTTTGCCAGGGGTGAGGGGAAGAGGGAGTGGGGAGTGACTAGAAGCGGGTAGAGCTTGCTTTGGAACTAGGTAGTGGTGATGGCACAACAGCAAGAAGTAAATGCCTCTAATCTATGCACCATACGATGCTAAAGTTTTATGGTATTTATGTGAATTCCACCTGAATTCAAAAATTTCTGGGGAACGGGAAGTCAGTGAGGAAACTGAGTTCTGTCTGGAGCCAGGCCGACTGTGCATCTTGCTCCTCCCACATTAGCCATGTGACCTCCGACGACTGAGGTCCCCACCCAGCCTCTGTTTGTTTATACATCTGCAAAGTAGGCCTAATCAACACACGCGTGTGCGCGCGCGCGCACACACACACACACACACACACACACACACACGGCTGTTAGGATGATTCAAGAGGCATCAGCTCTGAGCAGTTCCTGGAGCCCCTACAGTTGATAAAGGAAGCGTGATGGTTCTTGGGAAGGAGCGGTCGCTCTAGATGAGCCGTGGCCTGGGAGGCAGAACCTCAGAGAGCCTGAGCCGTGTTTCCCTGTAACCCTTGGTCTGTACAGACACCATTCCTGGAATTCTAGCAGCAACATGTCTCGAGCCTCTGGGGAACTGCAGCATGACGGGAGAGGGGAGACTACAGAAAGGATGCCCCATGGAGGAGGCCACCAGGGAGGGAGACGGACACTGGCTTCCTGCAGGCCTCTGAGAGGAAGGAAGACCTGGAGAGACTCAGAGGCATTTTCTGCAGAGGTGGGACACGTGAGGAACCCAGAATCCTAGACCTCCCTGCCCCAGCTCCCTTAGCGGGGCAGGAAGCGGATCCGATAAGCCGGGGGCAGTTTGCCCACACCACACTCCATGGGTGTGAGGTCGATGTCCTCAGGGGCCACAGAGCTGTCCACGTTGAAGTTCTGGAGGATGGTGGTGAAGAAGAGGAATAACTCTGTGCGAGCGATGCCCTCGCCGAGACAAATGCGCTTCCCTGTGGGCACAAAGAATCCCGCGTGGGCAGGAGGCAGCTGCCCATCCTGTGCCCGTCTCAGCCCGAAGCCCAGCCCCCCCGCCCACTGCACAGGTCTGCAAGGGGTTGACCTTTCAGCCACAGTTCCTGGAGGGCCTTGGGTTTCCCAAGCCCTCTGAAGCCAGGCAGGTGTGCCCTGCAGCAGTTTCCGGGAGTCTGTAGCCTCAGTGAGGATCCCCCAGGGTTCAGGGTCCCTCAGAGTAGAAGCACCTGCTTCAGCTTGGACGTGCCTGGGGGCGCCAGCTCACACATGCCAGGGCTGTGCTCATGCTCACCTAACATTTTGAACGTCCTTGTCCTTGTAAGGGATCTCTGTGCCTACCTCATAGGCTATTTGAGCTTAAAGAATGTAATATTTGTAATTAGATTCACACCTGGTGTCTATCAAAGATCCTACTGGTGTAGTATTTGCTTTGTGATAGTGACGGGGGAGAGCCATACCCTTCTAAAGTCTCAGTCCCCCCGCCCCACCCCTTCAACAGTCTTTTCTCTCCTGCACTGTTCTTCCACCTATGCCACTACTTTCTGTCTCCTTTTGTTTCTCTCTCTCTCGCTCTTCATTTCCCTTAACCTCCCTCTTCCTCTCACCACTTCCCCTTCCTTCTCTCTCTCTCTGTCTGTTTCCTCATAGTCACTGTCTCCCAAGTCTACATCTCTGTGTCTCTGTCCCTCTTTCCGTTTCTCACTCACCAGCCTTGTCTGTCTCTCTCTGTCCTTATTTTTGGTTTTTCTTTTTAAGATTTATTTATTTATACAAGAACCAGGGCACCGACCAGATTCGCGGGAGGGTGAGAGGATTCACCAGAGACACAGCAGGGGACAGAACAGGCAGACTGACGAAATACACTGCTGAGGGGAGCAGTGGGTGCGGCAGGAGAGGTCTGCGGTGCCATGTGGGACCCTCGCTGGCCGGCCAGGATCCAACCGGCACTGCAGAGGCTGCTGACACCTTCACAGCACAAAGCTCAACTGCCTGGGCCACCAGGGGAGGTCCTATTCCTTTTTGTTTTAAAGATCTATTTATGCATGCAAGAACTGGGATAGAGGCCAGAGGTGTTGGGGGAGGGGGACAGTGAGAGGATTCACCAGACAAAGTGGGGAGCAGAACAGGCCGAATGACTGAAATACACTGCTGAGGGGAGCAGCGGGCGAGACAGGAGAGGTCTGCTGTGCCATGGGGGTAGCTCCCAGGCCGGGGCTCAAACTCGTGCTGCAGAGGCTGCAGATAGCTTCAGAGTACTGTGCTTCACTCCTTGTGCCACCAGGGAGGCCCCTCTCTGTCCTTATTTCTCTGCTTCTCTCTAACCTTAGGGCAGGACGAGTGCTCAGGGAGTTACCCTCCTGTCACTTCACGCCCCAGCGCTCAATTCAGAAGAACTAAGGTGCTCAGTGCCCTGGGCGGAGCGCAGCCCCGGGGCCCTGCAGTCACAGAGGGAACCCGGGATTAGGGGCTTGTTGCTGGAGCACCCCATTCCCCCAGAGGACCAGCACCTGAGCATCAGGGTTTTCTCTGGAAGAGCCAAGGTGGAGAATGGGGGGCGGGGTGGAGCATCTGCACACGCCCAGCCCAGTCTTTACCCTCGTGCTGCCTGTACCCACACCCAGGCTCTCTGTGCTCCCAGAGCCTGTCCAGGGCGCCGTGCTCTGTCCACCTGCAGGCGGTGGCCCTGCTCCTCTGTGGGGAACGGTCTTTGCAGCAGCTGACCCAACTCACCCCTGAGGTCTTTAACTTAGCAGCCAGTGCTCCCGTTCAACTTTCCCTCCGACCCGCCCAGAGAGCTTCCCCTTTGCTCCCAAAGCCCCTTGAGAACACTTACTGCAATATGACTTTATAATGATCAGAGTCCTGGCCCTTCACAGCAATTACTGGGCGACCTCAGCCCAAGCCTGTCTAAGCTGCCCGTGCTCTAAGCTGTTTTGTGAGCACAAGGAGTGCCCCCTGGCGGGGTGTCCTCAGCTCAGGGCAGGCGCTGTGGCTCAGGCCCCTCCCTGGGCCATGTGTTATCTTCGCCCCCAGAAACTGCTGAGGAAGCACAGACCCTTCTTGGGTGTCAAAGGGGGGTTGGCACCTGCACACTGGTCCCGGGAGGCCGGGTGTGCCGTCTTACCTATGGAGAAGGGCAAAAAAGCGTCGCACTTCTTCAGTGCCCCACTGGCGTCCAGAAAGTGGTCAGGGTTGAAGGTTTCTGGTTTCTCAAAGTACCGCCGGTCATTGAGAGCAGAGTTCAGGATGGGAAATACTTCAGTGCCCTGGAGGAGTGTTGCAAGATCAAAAGATATTGCCATTTCCTCCCACATGCTACCCCTGAAATATCAAACCCTAGTAACAGAAAACTAGTAACAGGTCACTTTAGAGATTCACACCAAACTGGGCTCACCTTGGGGATGATGTACCCTCGGAAATGAGTGTCTTGGGTGACTATATGGGGCACCCCGATGGGGAGGAGGTCTCCGAATCTCTGAATCTCATGGATGACTGCGTCAGTGTAAGGCATGTTGGCTCGGTCCGTGAAGACTGGAGAGCGATTGGAGCCAACCACCCGGTCAATCTCCTTTTGGACCCTCTCTGCGCATAATAATGAGACCTGTGAGTCTCATTTCCAAGAGACAGTTTAGCAAAAGCACTGCATTCTCTGCGCTCTCAAGCCACGGAAAACCTACAGTAAAGGGTTAGATCATTGACCCCCTTTAGGGCAACCAGGGTGGGGAAGGATGAGCGCAGCAGCAAGAAACCTCACCCTTTGAAATACAATGAATGGGATGGATTTTCTCACTGTGCGAACAGGGACACACACAGACACACACACACACACACACAATTTCAGATGAAGAGCTGAGGCTATGAACTTGATGAATAGAAATTAACTATCTTTCTAAAAGATTGATTTGTGTGTGCATCTAAGAACTGGGGAACAGGCCAGAGGTGCGGGCAGTGAGAGGACTCATCAGAGACAGAGAGGGGAACTGAACAGGCAGACTGACTGAAATACACTGCTGAGGGGAGCAGCAGGGAGACAGGAGAGGTCTGCTGTGCCATGTGGGTCAGCTTCCAGGCCCAGGGATCAAACTCAGGTTGTGGAGGCTACAGATAACTTTGTAGTGCTGTGCTTAACCCCTTGCACCACCAGGGAGACCCGGAAATGAACTGTTAATATAACAGTGACTGGGCCCTCCCTGGTGGGGCAGGGTTAAAGTCTCAGCACTGGGCCTCCCTGGTGGCGCAGTGGTTGAGCGCTGGGTTGCGAAGCTGCCCGCGGCCTCTGCAGCACCGGTTCGATCCCCGGCTGCTCCCCAGCCACCGGAGGAGGGTCCCACATGGCGCGCAGACCTCTCCTGCTGCCCGCTGCTCCCCTCAGCAGTGTGCTTCGGTCCTTCTGCCTGCTCTGCTCCCCGCTCTGGCTCTGGTGAATTCTCTCACCCTCCCGCGCTTCTGACTGTACCCAGTGCTTGTATAAATAAATAAAAATAAATCTTTAAAAAAAATAAAAAAATAAAGTCTCAGCACTATCAAACTATCACCAGCCACTGCAGCGTGAGTCCAGTCCCTGGCCAGTGAGCTACCCACATGGCACAGTAGACCTCTCCTGTCACCCGCTGCTCCCCTCAGCAGTGTATTTCAGTAGCTCTGCCAGTTCTGCTCTCTACTCTGTCTCTGGTGAATCCTCTACCTCCCCCCACCTCCCGCTACACACACACCTAGACCCCAGTTCTTGTATGCATAAAAATAAAATAAATTTTAAAAATATATATACATATATAAAACAGTGACCCAAGAACTGTGTTTAAATAAATAAATCCTTGGACCAGTTGAAAAACAGAAAGATAGATGAAATGAAGAACAACCAACCAAAAGATACACAGATTTACTTACCCAGATGAATTACTAATCCAAATAAATTAATGAGTCATTAATGAATTAATGGCCCAGAAACCAATAAATGAGTGACCTTGGTCAGTCAATCCCATGAATGGATGTGATTGTACAACTAGGGAAGGAATGAGTAGGGAGAGGAGTAACTGAATAGATGGTTTAATTGAAGTGCGGTGAATAATTGAGTGGATTGTTCAGTGGGTGAATGAAAGAAAGATGGATGAAGGCACAAGTGAAAAACGGATGGGAGGATTAAACTCACAGCTCAAAGGACAGATGGACTCCTGATTTAATTAACGAATGAGCCAGTAAATATATGGGAAAGGTTCATTCAATGAGTCACTGTTTCAGTGGATCAGTAGAGCAATACTTAGTCCAAATAAGTGAATGAAAGTGTGTAACTGTGGATGACTCACTGATTGAGAATCAGCATATACAGAGTAGCTAATAAATGAAAGGACAGGTAGGTCAGTGGATGGGTGGATAGGTAGTTGGACAGAGGAGAGGGAGGGAGGGGTGAATGGATGGAAGGTTGGATGAGTTGATCTTAAAGTGATGGGAGAAAACAGTGGGGGACAAGTCAAGGGATCCCTCCTTCATCCATCTACCCGCACAACTGACTGAGTTGGGACCTCCTTCCTGCAGTGCTGGCCTAAGAGGGGCCGCTGAGTCTCTCATTCGTGTGAAATCCCTGGCCCCACTTCTGCTGCCCAAAAAGGGGTCTGAAGACCCCTTCCTATAATTGTCCTTGACCCCCACCTCTGATGTGGGGATATTTGAGCATGAGCAGGAACCCATAACGCAGGGTGGTGCTGGTCGTCTCTGTGCCGGCGAAGAAGAGGGAGAGCGTGGTGATGATGAGGTTCTTGTGGTGGAACTCGCTGTTGGGGTCGGACTTCTCCTGGGAGCAGAGAGGTGGAGTTTGTGTGAGGAGATCCTGGAGCCTGAGCTCTCTCCCCTCCCTGGCGCCCTCCCTGTCCAAAACCCCCGCACCAGCTCACACCCTTGACTTTTCTCTGTCCTGGATGGCTGCAGCCATCCAGTCAGCCTGTCTCCATCAGTCCCTCTCCACTCTGTCTGACCTGGTTTCCATCTCTGTATTGACCTCTGGCTGCCCTTGTGGTCTACCTGCCTCAGGCTGATTATCCCCCTCAGTTCCCCTTGCATCTCCCCTCCCTTTTCCTGTTCTCTCCTGCCACCCTCTCTGCTTCCCTCTGCTCCCCTCCCCCCTCCCTTATCCCGCCCCATCTTTTCCTCCCTCCCCCAATGCCTATCCCCCCTAAGCCCCACATTTTCCATGCGGAGCAGGTAGGTGTCTATGAAGTCCCGGGGCGCATTGGGATCCAGGGTTTCCCGGTGCTTCTCCACACTACGGCCAATGAAGGCATTGATTTCCTCCAGGTGGCTACACACTTTCCTGTGTGTGCCAGGAAAGTACTTCATGACGCCAGAGAAGAGCTCATACAGCTGTGGAGGAGAGAGGGGCTGTGAGTCCACCTGGGGCTGAGGAGCAGGTTACAGGGAGGAGCTGCCTCCTGGTGCTTAATCCTGCACTGCACGGACGTTCCAGAGGGGGGCGCTCGCTCACGCTCTTTCTCACCCTTCTCTGTGCTGGCTCTGAGAATTCCTTTATCTCTGTCTTTTGTTGGTTTTGCTCTGTCTTATCTCTTTCCCTCTCCTCTTCCTTTCTCTCCTCTCTCTCTATTAAGCCCTCACCTCAGTCTCTCTGATCCTCTATCACTACCCCCGACACTCCCTCCCCTTTCTTTCTCTTAGTCTCCCCCACCATCTCTCCCCTCCTCCAGGTTTCTGCATCCATCGCTGTCTCTCTTGCCCATCTGTGTCTTTCCCTGTCTAGCACCCCGGCACTGTATTTCTGGGGACTCAGAGCAGATGACCCTTTCCACCCCCCTACCCCCCCCACCCCCGAATGTGCACCTCATCCCGCCCTTGCTCAGCCTCTCCCTGACCTGGCTGGACAAGGAGCTGATGAGCGCGAAGGATCTGTAGAACAGGTCCAGCAGCCTCAGGAACTCGGGGTCTTTGTACTCAAAGCGTTGTCCAAAGACAATGGAGCAGATGATGTTGGCAGTGATGGCATGGAAGAAGAAGGTGGGGTCCTGGAGGGTTCCTAGGAGGGAGAGGTCAGGTCAAGGCGCAGAGACCTGGGAAGCCTGTGGCTGCCATCCAGGCTATATGGCCACCCGCCCTGGTTCCTTGCTCATCAAGGGAGCAAAACAATGGCAGCTGCCACTCACTAGCTTGTATTGTGTGCCAGGGCCGAGTCGGATAATACACCGTGTTTCATTTCATCCTCACCACAAGCCAGTGCCGAAGATGCACTTCTGTTGTTGCGATTCATAGATGGGTGGAAAGGTTAAGCAGTTTGAGCAGGGTTACCCACCTCTCATCTCTGAGACAGGGTCAGACCTGGCGGCCCATCTGCAGAGGGTGAGCCCTGAGCACATCGGCCCACCTGACTCGCCCGACCCCTGCTGGACTCTGGGAACAGGGCAGGCACGTGCCAGGGCGAGCTCCATCACAGCTACAGATTTTCAAACTCTGCTCTCCCTCTCCCTCATTCTGTCCCTCTCCTTCGTGTTATCTATCTGCTTTGAGAGTTGTCTGTCTGTAGACTCCGGGTGCAGACCTGGCTCTGCAGGGAGAGGCTGTGAGCCCAGAAGTTCAGCCTGCAGGTGGCTGCAGCGGGTCCCACCCGTCTGTCCCTCTCTTTCCATCTGTCTATAATTTTCTCCTCCTCAATTTCCCTATGCCTTTGTCTCTTTCTCTCTTAGTGTCTTCCTCTGTCTGTCCTGTTCCCCCATCTCTGCCGTTCTCTGTCTTCCTGTCTTTCACTGCAGTCCCCCTGAACATCTGCTCTGTTGCTCCCTGCGCTTCATCATTGGGAAAGTGGAGTGCTCAGGCCCCTTCTCACTGCCACCAGCACCCATGCTTTCCTCCCAAGTCTCATTGCCCACACGTGATACCGTGTTGGTGCAAGTTGCACTTAGAAGCATGAGCGTGGTATACACATGGGCACCCAGGGCCTATGCCTAGAAGCCAGCAGGTAGGGGTGCACATACCTGTCAGCTGGGATGCCCCAGAGAGATCATTGCAAGAGGGAGATAGAGAATGTGAGAGAGAAGCCCCAGAGAGGGCGAGGTCACTTTGAGACTAGGGGGCTCAGTTGATACCTCCCTTCCTGGTCTGCCTGTGTCCGGTTCCCTATTCAGCATTAAAGGCATAGTAGAGGGCCTCCCCCAGTGGCGCAGCGGTTGAGCGCTGGGCTGCAAAGCTGCCCGCAGCCTCTGCAGCGCCGGATTGATCCCCCGCTGCCGGGAGAGGGTCCCACATGGCTCGCAGACCTCTCCTGCGGCCTGCTGCTCCCCTCAGCAGTGTACTTTGTCAATCTGCCTGTTCTGCTCTCCGCTCTGGCTCTGGTGAGTTCTCTCACCCTCCCGTGCCTCTTGACTGTACCCAGTGCTTGTATGAATAAATAAATAAATCTTTAAAAATAAAAAATAAATAAAATAAAGGCATAGTAGAATACTGAAGGCTCCAAAATTCTCTTTTCATCTGCCCGGATCAACAAGGAACCTGCCCAACCTGGAATGGTTGCACAACATTCACCCTCTACTTTTCCCTCCCAGACTCCACAACTATGTCTGGCAGTATCTGCATAGGACCCTGTCACTATGCGTCTCCTAAACACCCTCATAGGAGACTGCAAGACCACCAGAGATGCTTCTTTGCCAGTCTTCACAAAAGCAGAATACCCCAACTGCCCTCTGTGATCACTGCCAGCTCACCAGCAGGTCACCCCCAGAAAGGAAAGCTCAACTGGTTGTTTTCAAAGGTCTGTTGTTTTCCTTTGACCCTATTTGCTCTCTTGTATCTAAGACCCACTTCTACCTTTGACAGATACGATCAATCCATGCCTTGGTTTCCATGAACCCAATAAATGGTGTGCTCATGTCTAAGTTTAGTCTTTGGGTTATTCTTGCCAAGAATAACTCAGTATCGGGCCTCCCCGGTGGCGTAGTGGTTGAGCGCTGGGTTGTGATGCTGACTGCAGCCTCTGCGGCGCCGGTTCGATCCCTGGCTGCTCCCCGGCCACCAGAGGAGGGTCCCACATGGCGCGCAGACCTCTCCTGCCGCCCGCTGCTCCCCTCAGCAGTGTACTTCGGTCCTTCTGCCTGTTCTGCTCTCCGCTATGGCTCTGGTGAATTCTCTCACCCTCCCGCGCTTCTGACTGTACCCAGTGAATGTATAAACAGAACAAACAAACAAACAAACAAATAAATAAATAAAACATGCCTCTATAAAAAAAAAAAAAAAGAATAACTCAGTATCTCTCCTGGTTCTTCTGGCTCCCTCCTACTCCTATCTGTCCCCAGTCCCCGTTCTGTGTCCTCATCCTTCTGTCTGATGTCTCTAGGGTTGTCTCTCTCCCTGTGGAGCTCTTTCTCTGCCCAGTTCATCCCTCTGGTTTCCATTGCTATTGCTCTGCTTGTCTTTGGTGTTACTCTTTTTCTCTCTGACCTGGTCCCCCTGGCCTCACCCTTGGTCATCTGGAGTTCCTTCACCAGGCACTGAGCCTCCTCCTGGATCCGCTCCTCCACACTCCGCTTTCCCATCCCGAAGTCCCTCATGGTGGCCAGAGAGAATCGCCGAAGGGCTTTCCAACGCTCCCCATTAGCAAAGACCACACCTGGGAGGAGAGATGGAGAGGAGGTGTGGATTATAGAAGAAGGCAATTCTGCATCCACTCCACTGCAGCTCCTGCTTTTTCAGACTCTCTAGCCCCTTCTTCCCTCCCATCCCTTCCCGGGCCCCTTGAGCCTCTTACCATAGCCCTGGAAGACTGGATCAATCACAGCAATTTTTCCTCGACCAGAGAAGGCATCAGCATTGTCCACCAGGGCCTCCCGTATGGCCTCAGTCCCACATAGCATGACCACTGGCCTTGGCCCCAGGTACACCGTGAAGACATCCCCATATTTGTCTCGGAGCTGCCAAGCACATGACACCCACGGTTGATATTAGAGTGCAACTCAGTGGCCATCCCAGCTGTTAAACCATTAGAACACTTACAAATAAATCACCGCCCCAAGAGTCTCCACCTTGGCTTCCTTTCCCTGTCAGAGGAGGCGGACATTAAAGGATGAACCATGTGTCAAGGCGAGTCTGCATGATCAGTGCCCTCAGCAGTATATGTCGTTAAATATTTCTACTACCAACGTTGCCCACACCCTTGAGTCTGGTCACACCTCTCTGCCATTGGAACTAAAGATTCATCCTTCTTATGGCCCAATCTCAACCTGTTACCTACCTCTTAGAAGATTCACTGGAAAACATCCCTGTGCCACCTTATTGGTAGACATGAAGGGAGAATGATAAACTTCTGGGGGATAGTGAAGGCTGAAAAGTTATAATATCAGCACAACCACTTGGGAAACTGCTCAGCAGTATAGTCATTCATCACATGATGAAGTTAGGGTCAATTCGGGCAGCATATTACAGTGGTCTGAATACATGGTGCCATTGAACATATGTGCATAGTAACCTCTACATTTAGACTTCTGTCTATATAGAACTGTCACAATGATGAACTCTCCTAACAACACTATCTCAGAATGTATCCCATTGTTACTTGATGCCTGATTGCATTTACTTAAGCCAAACATAAGTATACTCAGTGACTCAGCAACTCCAACACCCAGATACTTGCTCAACAAAAGCTTGTACATATAGCCATATAAAAATAAACAACAAGAGTTATATAAATTTTATCAATAATATGTTCAGCAATAGTATGTAGAATAAATAGTACTGTATTTATGCTGTGGACTACTGTGCAGCAATGAAAAAGAAAACCCACTGCTACACCCAACAACATGACTGAAATTCACAGTTGTAACTGTTGAGTTAAAGCAATGACACAAAATGTCCATACGTCATAATCCTATTTATAAGAAGTTTGAAAGCAAGTAACTTGAGACTATAATTAGGGTAGTGGGAGGGTAGTGACTTGAAGGGGGCATGAGGAATATTTTAGGCATAGACCCTGTTGCTACTTCTCTGTATGTCAGTTACTTGAATTGAATATGCTCTTTTGAGACATTCACTAAGCTGGGTACTTAGGAGTGTGTGCTTTTTAGGTTGATATTAATTGCAATAAATAGTTGACTTATAATCATGAACAGGTTAATTTTGTTAAAAAATTTTTCTTATTGCTCCCTGGAAATCTCACTAGTCTCCCTACTTCCATTCCTCTGTCCCCTATAATCATCTTGCCACCCAGACCACTCCATTCTGAAGCCAGAGTACGCCCGTTGATGGAAAGTGATTAATATCCCTAGCTTGCTCCATCCCCCAAGGCTCCCTCCACACTGAAAATAAGACTGCTCCACTGTGGTACATATCACCCCTCTGCTTCTCATCCCACTCACTCAGACCCAGTCTCCCTGTTCTCGCTCACACATTAAGAGTTTCTCCACTTCAGATTCCTTGCAGCATCCCTGCCTCAACCAGTGCCTTCCACCTGCATCTCTCAGGATCTCTCCGCACGATCAAAGCAAGACTGAGCTTTTCTTTACCCACTCAATCAAAAGGAACTCCCACTACTCTCTGAGGTAGCATCCTGCTTTATTTCACTCACAGCTCTTATATACCTAATATTCCCTTCTTTTAGTTTATAAGCCTTGTCCAACACCTAGAAATTTTCCCCAAACAGAATCTACTCTGTTATTATTGAACGATTGAATAAATGAAAGAGTGGATCAAAGTAACTGCATTTAATGAGCACTTACTATACACCAGGCCCTCTGCTCAACCCTGATTAATCCTCACAGAGTCTTAGTGGGCACACAGTCTCAGCAACATTTCATTTTACATAAAAGGAAACTGAGACACAATGAGTAAGAGTGGAATCTAGAACATGAACCTGTGTTTGCCTGCATCCAAAAATATTTGGGAGCTTGTAGGAGAATTGCCACTCTCGCCAACCCATTCCATTCCATCATGTCATCACACACCCAAGTCTCTCCCCTCCTCTCTTCTTCTTCTCACACACCCAAGTGTCTCCCCTCCTCTCTTCTTCTTCTTCTCCTCTCTCTCTCTCTCTCTCCCCCTTCTCTCTCTCTCTCTTTCTCTCTCTGCTTCCCTCCTGCTCCCCCTTCCTCTCTCCCTGCAGTTCTGCTTAGAGATGCAATGGTACTGGAGTCTCTTGGACTCCCAGAGGGTCTTTGAATGTCCGTGGAAGAGTTTTAAGAACTCTCAATATTTTATTCATAAGAAAATATGCTTGGGGGCTTTCCTGGTGGCGCAAGGGGTTAAGACGCAACCTATGAAGCTATTCCCAGCCATTGCAGCACGATCTTAATCCCCAGGCCAGCCAGGGAGCTACCCACATGGCACAGCAGTGCCCTCTGCTCCCCTCAGCAGTGTATTTCAGACAATCCTCCTGTTCTGTTCCCCACTCTGTCTCTGGTGAATCCTCTCACACACACCCCTTCCTCTAACCTGTACCCCAGTTCTTGTAAGCATAAATAAATTTTTTTAAGATTTATTTATTTATACAAGCACTGGGTACAGTCAGAAGCACGGGAGGGTGAGAGAATTCACCAGAGTCAGAGCAGGGAGCAGAGCAGGCAGAAGGACCGAAGTATACTGCTGAGGGGAGCAGCGGCAGGAGAGGTCTGCTGTGCCATATGGATAGCTCCCTGGCTGGCCAGGGGATTAAAATCGTGCTGCAATGGCTGCGAATAGCTTCATAGGTTGCATCTTAACCCCTTGCGCCACCAGGAAAGCCTCCTCCCGTGGCTGGGGAGCAGCCGGGGATCGAACCGGCGCTGCAGAGGCTGCAGGCAGCTTTGCAACCCAGCGCTCAACCGCTGCGCCATTGGGGAGGCCCAATAAATCTTTTTTTAAAAAAAAAATATTCTTGGATGTTTAGAAAGAGTGAACACAACAGTTTTAATCAAATTCTCAAAGTAATGCCCCATTGAAGTCAGCTCCACATGAGGACACTGGAGATGAAATTACCTCTGTGTGGATCCTGGCTTCATTCTGTGCAGCCTGACTGTGTGAGGACAGACACTATCCCCAGGCTGAGCCTCCCTGTCCTACCTCTATGGCTGGATAGCACTTCAGGTAGTGACTGGGGGTTGTAAAGGGAACTGAGGAATTCTCCTGACAACGTAGATAAATCCTATTCACACAGTTCTGAATATATCCCTAAGTCCAGAGTTATAAGAGTACAGCACCTTGTGATAGAGTGAAGACAACAGGAACTTAATACTATGCCTCAGTGGCCTCCACCTATGGAGAAAACTATTCAAGCAAAGAGATGACAAGTTCAAAATACAGGAGCATGGTTGCCCTGGCAGGCGGAAGAGCACTGAGGAGCACGGGTGCCTGGAAGTTATTGTCAGTTTCCACTTGACCGTTGGTGCTGGGTTCATGGTGTTGATTTCATTGTTCATGAACAAATAGATCATCAACAGTGAAATTCTGGGCCTCCTTGGTGGCTCAAGGGGTTAAGACGCTGCCTGTGAAGCTGTCCGCAGCCTCTGCAGCATGAGTTCGATCAGGGAGCAACCCACATGGTGCAGCAGACCTCTCCTGTCTTTCCCACTGCTCCCTCAGCAGTGTGTTTCAGTAGATCTGCCTGTTTGGTTCCCCGCTCTTGTCTCTGGTGAATCCTCTCATCCCCCACATATCTGTCCTTGTATGCATAAATAAGTAAATCTTAAAAAAAAAAAAAAAAGTGAAATTCTGCCTGGAGAGTCATGGTGCAGAGCACAGCCAATGCCCCATGAGAGCCATCCTGCTGCCCCTCCTCCTTCCCCGGTCCTGGCACTGACACCTGGCCAGATTTGCTCTCCTTTGTTAGCTGGGGACAGCCTTACTTGATTGGTGCCGCCACCCCTTCTTCTCTCCAGTGGCAGGCAGGGACCCAGGAAAGTGGCAAAGAGGTGGCAAAGCAGTGAAACACTACACCAGTGCACACACCCGGCCTTCTCTCCAAACCCACTTGTTTGCTCCAGGAACAGCACCTGCTCACCGCCAGCCAAGCAGGGTGCCTCTGGTTCTCTGACCACCACCCACCAGTCTTCATGCCCATGCCCTTCTCACCACCCTCCACACCCCACTCCTGAGCCTGGACGGTGCCTCCCTCCTGCTGAGTGACTCCCAAGTGCCAAGGCACGGAGCCCCCTGAGGCCCCGTCCATCATGTCTCACCTGCAGGAAGGATTTGAGAAGACCTTTTCTATCCATCTGCAGAAGGTTCCCCAAAAAGGGCAGAGGCCGGGGACCTGGTGGGAGGCGTCTGTACGCCTTAGGCTGGCCCCTGGCCATCAGAAGCAGGAGTCCTGTGAGGACAGCCAGGAGGAGGAGGACGCTGAGCTCCATGGTGCTGGTCTGCCTGCCTTCCAATGGCTGCAGCCAGGGGTGGGGCCTTTTATCTAGAGCCTGCAGCCCCACCCAGTTGTGTAACTTCACCCATTCTCCGCCTCCACTCTCATCACTGCTCAGAGTAGGGACTGCTCAGGCAGCCCCGTGGCTGCTCACTCCCTGCCCTGCGCACCCTACCTCATGGGGCAGATACTGTGGCAGGGAAACCAAAGTCCAAGAGACCGTGTGTGCTTATGTTTGTTAAGTTGTGGGTATGTGTGCAGAGCATGCTTGTTTTGTTTTTTGGTTTTTTTTTTAAGATTCATTTATTTATGCATACAAGAGCTGGGGTACAGGCCAGAGGTGCAGGGGGTGAGAGGGTTCACCAGAAACAGAGTGGGGAGAGGAACAGGCGGATTGACTGAAATACGCTGCTAAAGATGAGAGAGGGCTGCTGCGACATGTGGGTCAGCTGCCTGGCTGGGATCGAACTCGTGCTGCAGTGGCTGTGGATAGCCTCATAGTGCTGAGACTTAGCCCCTTGTGCCACCAGGGAGGCCCAAAGCATGCTTGTTTACTTATTTCTGCTGTGTTCATGTGCTCGTGGGTGTGTGTGTGTATGTGTGTGTGTATATGTCATTTTTAAATGGGATGAGGGCGGTTGTGAGCTTGTGTGTTTGTGTGTCTGTGTCTGCATGTTCTTTTGTGTATACTTTTTAAAAAAGATTTATTTACTTATGCATATAAGACCTGGGGTACAGGCCAGAGGTGAGAGGATTCACCAGAGACAGAGTGGGGAACAGAACAGGCAGATCTACACTGCTGAAGGGAGCAGCGGGCGAGTCAGGAGAGGTCTGCTGCACCATGTGTGTATCTCCGTGGCTGGTGGGGTTTGAATTCCTGCTGCAGAGGCTACGGATAGCTTCACAGATGTGTCTTAACCCCTTGCACCACCAGAGAGGCCAATTATGTGTATACTTTTGCATGTGTGCTGGCTTAGAGGTATTTTGATGGTTTCCTGAGTGAAGGTGTGTTCACACGTATGTCCCTGTATGTGTGTGTGTCCCTGTGTGTACTTGTGTGTTTGTGCACCTCCCTGTCCCTGTCTTCTTAGCAGCTCTGTCTCCCCAGTTCCCCTCCTTCACCCTCCTTCTTTGATAGCCACAGATGGGAATGATAGAAAACGGAGGGCTGGGAGGTGGAGGGTGAACAGAACTGGTGAGGCTCAGAGGTGCGTGGGTTCGGGGAGCCAGCCTAGACCCGGCAGGTGATTGGAGTCTGTGATTCTTGGGTTGTTCTGACCACTGGGGTTGTCAGAGGCCTCCCCGCCTCTGGTTCTGTCTTCACTGTGCAGTATATTCCTCTGCCACCTTTGGCCACCTGTATGTGTGTGTCTCCCTGCCTATCTGCTGCAGTGTCCCTGAGCTCTCCTAGAGACTCTCAGCACCTGGAGCACAGAGACAGGGCCCAGTTAGATCGCATCCCCTCGGCTTCCATCCATCTCCATCAATGCTCTGAGCCTGCCCTGCCCAGCCTCTCCCAGGCTTGGTCCGTTTGTCAAATACGTGCGGGTTTTGTATTGTTACTATTTTTTTCACCTGATGCCTCATTTGGTTCCCCTATATTCCTCCTATAAGTGAAACCATCTGATATTTTTCTTTTTCCTTCTGACTTATTTCACTGAGTGTAATTCCTTTCAGCTCCATCCATGTTGCTGTGAATGGCATCTTTTTTGATTGCTGAATAGTAGCCCATGGTGTATATAGACCCCCATCTTCTAGTCTTCTATTTTGGGGCATTTGGGTTGTTTCCAGGTTTTATCTATTATAAATAGCGCTGCAATAAACATAGGGGTACAGGTATTTTATTGAATCATTGTTTTAGTGTCCTTTCAGTAGATCCCTAGGAGTGGAATTGCATGGGTTCATTGGTGAAGGAAATTCTATGGGGACTACACCTGAGGGGCAGGGCAGGGGGAGCAAACATCATTTAAAAATACATGAGGGCCTCCCCGGTGGTGCAGCTGTTGAGCCCTGGGTTGCGAAGCTGCCCGCAGCCTCTGCAGCGCAGGTTCGATGCCCGGCTGCTCCCCGGCCACCGGAGGAGGGTCCCACATGGCGCGCAGACCTCTCCTGCCGCCTGCTCCCCTCAGCAGTGTACTTCGGTCCTTCTGCCTGCTCTGCTCCCCGCTCTGGCTCTGGTGAATTCTCTCACCCTCCTGCGCTTCTGACTGTCAGTGCCTGTATAAATAAATAAATAAATCTTTAAAAAAAAAAATAAAAATAAAAAAATAAAAATAAAAATACATGAGTGGGGCCTCCCCGGTGGCGCAGCAGTTGAGCGCTGGGTTGCGAAGCTGCCCGCAGCCTCTGCTGCGCAGGTTCGATCCCCGGCTGCTCCCCGGCCACCGGAGGAGGGTCCCACATGGCGCGCAGACCTCTCCTGCCGCCCGCTGCTCCCCTCAGCAGTGTACTTCAGTCCTTCTGCCTGCTCTGCTCCCCGCTCTGGCTCTGGTGAATTCTCTCACCCTCCCGCGCTTCTGACTGTACCCAGTGCATGTATAAACAAAAATAAATAAATAAATAAATAAATAAATAAATAAATAAATAAACCATGCCTCTATAAAAAAAAATAAATTAAAATAAAATAAATAAAATAAAAATACATGAGTGAATGTGTCCATATTCATCTGTTGTAACTGGGGCTGGGCTTTCCACCTCTCTCTCTTGCCCTCTTCCAAAGGGGCATGGGGAAAATAAAGGCAGGTGCTTTGTTAAGTAGATCCCTTGCTAGACCCAGAGTCAGGGTCAGAAAGTGAGTCATACTTCTTTGACCCTGGAGGATGGAGCCAACGATACGGTAACCTTATAATACTCCTGATATCCTGAGGAGGTGGAACCTGCACTTTCCTCACCTTGGGGGGGGTGGTGCCAGCATGGACTCTCCTGGCCTCTTGGCCTAGCTACTACTGTGCTGTGTGCTCTGTCCCTGGGATCTGGCCAAATGCCAGCTCCGGGTGACTGGTGGGAGACTGGGAGTGCTTCACATGGAGGAGCTCACTGAATATTCACCCTTTGAGATGGGTATTACTCTCACTCCCAGATTACAGGTGAAGTGTGTGAAGCACAGAGAGTTGAGAGTTCTCCCCAGGCACACAGCATTGTCCAATGTGGCAGCCACTTGCTTTAAGCACTGAAGTATGGCAAATACATTGAATTTTAATTAGAAAATTGATGCTTAATAGTAATTGAAAAACTAAATATTTTAGAACAACTTGGGTATGTGAGTTTGGGTTGTGAAACTCTAAAGTTTCACAAATCTATACGCAAAGAAAATTTGAGGTCCCTATTAAGATGCCCTATAAGTACAAAATAGACACCACATTGCAAAAACTTATAATAAGAAAAAATTGATATGATGGTATGGAGGAGCAGACACAACGAAATTATGATTGGACTTGCACTGAGTCATGTTCAACTGACAGCTTAACCTCCTGTGTCTTCTGACCTATGAAGACATTATGTTTTTCCATTGATTTAGGTCTTTGTGATAGGCAGGATAATGCCTCACAAACCAAACTGTTCACAGACCAGTCCCCAGAACCTGTGAGTATTTTAGGTGACATAGCAAAGGAGGGTTCACATTCAGGTATAATTAAGGTCGCTAATTTCAGACAGCGATATTAGTCTGAAATACCAGTTGGGTGCAGTGTTATCACGTCTAGACCACTATCTCACACTGTATGGAAAAATCAACTTAAAAAAGACTTGGCTGTAGACCTGAAACCATAAAATATATAGGAAAAAACATAAGAACACTCCATGACATAAACTTCAGAAACATCTCTGAGGTCTCCTCTCAACAGCCAAGAAAAAACAAAGGCAAATAGAAACAACTGGAATGACATCAAAATAAAAAACTTCTGTACAGCAAAAGAGACAGTAGCCAAAACCTAGAAAATATTTGTTTTCACTATATTCCACATAGTATAAGTGACACTATCCAGTATTTGACTTTCTTCTGACATTTTCCCTGGCATTATCTCCTCCCATGTGGTTACAATTCCATGGACTCCAGTTCCACCCAATTTTTGAATGGAAAATTTCTTATTTTGTTATGGCATAGTACTCCATTGTGGGTATGGACCACATCCTCTTAATCCACTTATCTGCCCTTGAGCACTTGGGTTGTTTCCATAATTTGGCTGTTGTTGGCAGTGGACCTAGCAGTACATATATCCCTTCCATTGTCTTTGGTGCTGTTGTATTCTTTGTATGCATACCCAGGAGTAGAACTGCTGGGCTGTATTTTGAGAAACCTCCATATTGATATTTTGATACTTTGAGAAACCTCCATATTGTATTCCATAAATGTTAAATGTTGATTTAGTGTAACTTACCTATCTTTCACTTTTTTGCCTGTGTGTTTGGTGTCATATCTGCTGGGGAGCCTGAAAATTCAATAACTTAGCCTTTTAATTTTTATAGAATTTATAATGATGTGACCTTTCTTTCCTAATATTTGTAAATTGTTTCCTTTTTTCTGATCAAACTGATTAATAGTTATCAATTTTATTGATATTCTCAAAGAACCACATTTCTATTTCCCAAAATTTGCTTTATTGTTTTGTTGTTTTCTGTTTCATTGGTTTCTCCACTGATTTTCATTATTTTATTTATTTTACTTGTCTTTGGATTCATTCTCTCTTCTTTTTTTTTAAAAAGATTTATTTATTTATGCATACAAGAACTGGGGTACAGGCCAGAGGTGTGGAGGTTGAGAAGATTCACCAGAGATAGAGTAGGGAACAGAACAAGCAGGTTAACTGAAATACACTGCTGAGAGGAGCAGCGGGCAAGTCAGGAGAGGTCTGCTGCGCCATGTGGGTCAGCTGCCTGGTCAGGGATCATATTCGTGCTGCAATGGCTGGGAATAGCTTCGTAGGTTGCGTCTTAACCCCTTTTGCCACCAGGGAGGCCCCTCTTTTTTTTTTTTCCCCACTTCCTTAAGAATAGCACCCAGGGCC